GGGGGCGGGGGGTGAACAACACAGCCATGTTAGTGGTGAGGAGGCGATGGCTTGTGGTGGCGGATGCAACGGTAGGGGGCACCTCGCTACCGCTAGCTTGAAGATAAGGACATGTGAGAATGAGGAGGGGGACGACGTCACCAAGAGAGGGGCTCACCAACGCTATTCACGCCTTCCGATTAACTGATGAGGTGGGGGTTAATGTGATAGGCGGGGAATGCGGCGGCTAAACGACGATCTTCCGCTCACTCACTCGCGTGCGAGCGGGGAAGAAGGGAGAGAGGGAGGATAAGATTACTTATGTGCATGAATCACAAAGCCCACATTAAATGGTCAATAATCTATCAACATATTAAAGTAATAAAAAAAGAAGCCTCCATGTTCACTCTCACGCATTAGAAAATTTCATATTAATCAGAGAAAAGGAAAAAAATAGAGTCTTTATAGAAATACAATTTAAAAAAGCTTAAATTTAAAATTAAAAAATAACAAATATTGGGAGAGGAGACTAGAGTCCATACAGATATACAATCTAGAACTATCTGAATTCGGAATTAAAAAAAATAAAAGTAGAGCTTATAGTCTATATAGAAATACAACTTAGAAATAACTAAAATTTAAAATTTAAAAGTATGAAATATTGAAAAAAGAGTTTAGAGTTTATATATGAATATAATTTAGAATTAATTGAAATTATAAATTAAAAAATAGGAACATTGAAAGATGAGTTTAGAGTTCGTATGGAAATACAATTAGAAATATTGAAAATTCATAATTAAAAAATAAGGAATATTAGAAGAAAAGTCTAGTGTCCATGTAGAAATTTAGAACCAATTGAATAAAAAGTAAAATAAAAGTAGAGTTTAAAGTCTATATAGAAATATCATTTATAAATAACTAAAAGTTAAAATAAAAAAGAAAGAAAGATTGGAAGAAGAGTCTATATTTCATATAGAAATACAATTTAGAAAATAGCTAGAATTAAGAACTACTCCCTCCGTTTCAGGTTATAAGACGTTTTGACTTTAGTAAAAGTCAATCTGTTTTAAGTTTAACTAAGTTTATAGACAAGTATTGTAATATTTATAATACTAAATTAGTTTCATCAAATTAATAATTGAATATATTTTCATAATAAATTTGTCTTGGATTGAAAATGCTATACTTTTTTCTCCAAACTTAGTCAAACTTAAAGCAATTTGACTTTGACTAAAGTCAAAACGTCTTATAACCTGAAACGGAGGGAGTAAAAAAATAAGGAATATTAGAATAAGAGTGTAGTGGAATACAATTATAAAATAATTAAAATTTGAAATTTAAAAATATTAAAAGAGGAGAGTAGTGTCCATATATAAATGCAATTTATAAATAAAAAATATTGAAAGAAGGGCTTAGAGTTCATATAGGAATATAATTTATAAATAGCAAAACTTTAAAATTAAAAACAAGGAATATTAAAAGAGGGGTCTAGAGTTTATATATGAATACAATTTAGAAATAATTAAAACTCAAAATTTAAAAATAATACAATATAAAAATTACCCATTGGTTAGTTTGGTTAGTTTAGTACAAAATTTTAAATTATGTTACCATTTCGATATATTTTATTAATAAAATATAAAAATATATATGCTATTACGTGAGAGAAAATATATAATAATGCTAATCGTATAGTTTGCATAGACTATCATGCTGCAGGTACACATGATATAAGAAGGATTCGTGTCGTAAGTTAATCAGGCAGTCTCAAACCTAATTGTAACCAGTCAATGGTTGGGAGAAGTCGAAAGCAAGATATACAGAGACGTGCAACTATTTTCCAAGATAGCAACAGGTCATCTGGCAGCACTTTACATGTGGTGCTTCCATTGCAGCAATAAGCCATGGCCATGGTAAATTCATGGGCATGCATTGATGGGGACACATGTTTTTAGTGATCCTTTTCAGCCTTTTCCACCCAGTACCACCCTCACCCTATGCAGCTAGTAGGTAGGCTTTCCCCGATCTACCTTCCTCTCTGACTCTCTACTTTCACCGAAACCAAAGAATTGCTTAGAACTAAGCTGTTGGTTAGCGAGTTAATTAATCAGGATCCTAGTGCTGTTGCTATGTACGGAGTAGATGTATACTTATCTTATCCATTACCTTCCCTTGCAATCCTGGCAACTCTTGTTCACATGTCATCACACCGTGCCTTTCCACTCTTGCCACTGGGATTGGACTTGATTAGAGTAAAGTTAATTCGTGCTCGCACTGCAAATCCTGGTCCTCATCCACCTTATTAGTCAAACTCCTGTGGGTGTAAAATTATTATCCCAGGCTTAGAGCTAAAAAGGTATCTACCTAGCTCTTTGGAGGCTTGCTTTGCGACTACTAATATACTATTCGCCAATGTCTTCCTCATGTGCGCGATTTGATGCATTGTTAAATGCGGCTAATTAGCATCCCTAATCCTACTTCACGTGGCTAATGTAGGTTTGGGGTGGCAATTGTTGGTGGCTTGGTGCTGACTTTGTAGCAGAGCACAACTCAGCAAGTATGTATGTACAGCGGAAGGGCAGTCTGAGCCAGGTTAGGAGCGGATTACGGATGTGCATCAAGTTGCACCAATATACTAGTAATTATCATGTAAGAAGCGTAACGTCTGGCTGCAGCTGCTTACCAAATTCGCCTACTACCGGAGATTTTTAATTACTTGGTAAGAAGAACAAACAACTCGCAAAATACAGGCCTACTCGGTCGCTGTTCTAAAGAAACTCAGTTGCTGTTCTATCGGTCCTTTTCAGGATCTGTATAATCCATAAAAGAGGACGAAAAACCCTTGATCAAAAGGCATGGGCTTTGCTTTGTTGACCCCGCAATAATTCGCCACCTCTATATCGATGGGTCGGTGGCTCGGTGCGTAGCCATCCATCGCAAGGAGACCGCACTGGACGGTCATGGCGTCAAAAACGACAGGGGCATGAATCGCAAAAGCAATAAAAACAGGGGCATGTACAGGCAGACAATCCAGTGGTAGTTAACCTCGTTTTCATCGCATCATTTCCCTCAATTCCAAGCTCCGGCGGATCGATGCACACCACAACTCCACAAGGAGACGCATAACGTGAAACCGATCGCTCGCTATTTTACTCTGCAAATTATCTCGGCCATTCATGAGCACGCGGTGTTCAGTACGTTCGAGACACTGAGACAGCGACAATGTGTTTTGTGTCTATATAGAAACAGATCGATCGCACAGTAACACAGACGTCGAATAAGTAAACGGATATACTACTACTACACGGCTGTACCGCATATACTTGGAGTGATCCGTCCCGATTAAACGGACAACTTAATCCCTTATTAATCAGCTAGTGGCACGTACTAGCAAGGAGAATCTCATAGGAGCAGTAACAATCCAGCTGCAAACTATAGGAGCTACTACTACCTCTGGCTGACAGGGGCAGAAAAATGGACGGGGCCCGGCCGGACCATGGGTGGTCCGCGGCCTGCGTCTCGATGAAAGCCGGCTTGATTAGCGCACGAGACACCACAGCTACTCGACCGGGTGGTTTGTGCTTGCGCTTTGTGCTTTGCTTAATCATGCCGCGCCCGCCCGAGCGGGCCGACGGCTTATGCACCGCTCGCGCGCGCAGGGGCCAAAGGAGGCAGAGCGACATCAGATGCGTGCGTGCCGCCGTGCCGTGCTCCTCTGCACGCCACGGGGACCGCGCGCTCTGCGTCGCTCGATCGGGCCGAGGGGGTTTTCCTCTGCTTTTCTCTGAGGCCTTCACGTATACGGGGGCGCAAGCGCAACGCGGGCACCACTGAGAGCTCTCGGCCGTGGTGATGCCGGCTTGGGCATCGGATGCCGTTGTCGGTATAGAGGGGGAGAGCTTTGATGGAGTACTGCGCCAGTGTGCCGGGCGCGTGATGGTCCTGGCCCTGTGCATGTGGTGCTACCCTGGTATAGCCTGGGAGGTGTATCCGTTCTTTTTACGTGCTTGGGTTTAGCATCTCCTCTTTTCTTTCCACCTTTCTTTCTTTCGGTTTATCAAATGCATCTGCGCAACGAAACTTCAAATCGTGCACACCGCTGCAGGTCGTCTATTGGAAAAAAAAAAGGCTTAACAGATGCTGAGTGGAGATTTCGTTGGCATACTCAGGGGTAGGAGTACTATTCTAGGGTAGTACGCTGAAACGAAGAGAGGACAAATGGCACCATCAAACAGTGCCAACAAGTCAATGGTATGTGCATACTCCAAAGGACGCGTCGTCGGCTGCTGGTGACGGGAAACCGAAAAGTAAAACCAAACGACGGCGCGCCACCTCCTCTCCGTTTCCAAAATCGCATTGCCTGCCTAGTCCACTTCCCCGAAACGGCACGAGCGGTTAACACTGCCTCGCGCCGCGGCCGGGCACAACCCGCTGAAGCCTGGGCCCCCGCGGTCGCGGAATTTTAACTCCCTCTACCCCCTCCATCCCCAAGGACAAGAGAGGAGAGGAGAAGGAGAGGCCGCGCCCCCGAAAGGCCAAGGACGAGCGTACCACCAGGTCACCAACCCGACAGTAAACAGTAACCCCCGGTGGTAACAAAACCGACGATGACGACGACGCGAGGCGGGCAGAGAGGGGGGAGGGGAGGGGAGGCGTTGGCATCACCGCAATAACAACGACGACGGCACCAGCACCAACCACCAGTCGCGCAGACAGGCAGCAGCTGACGCGCGCGCGGGGGCGAGGGCAGGAACCCGTCGCGATTGGGCGGACGACGAACCGGTCGCGCGCGGGCGCGTTCGGGAATCGTGGTGGATCTGACGCCACCACCGCCGCCGCCGCCGCCGCTCGGTTGCTCCTCTCCTCGCCGCGCCGTCGCGTGCGTCGCCGTCGCCTCCTTGCCCCTAGCGGGCGGCCGGGCAATTCCCCGCGCGCCTGCTCGATCTGCCTCGGTGGTCAATGCGGGCGAGGAGATGAGCGGCGCCGCAGGCAGGAGGCAGGCAGGCAGGCGGGGTGATCGCTTCTATGAGGCGCGGGACCGGTGCTCTCCTCCTCCTCCTCCTCCCCACCTCGGCCTCGGACGACGACGACCACCCGCGGCGAGGTCGGGATGCGGCGGCTGCTGCTGCTGCGGCGGCGGCGGCGGCGCTCGACGTGTGGACGTCGGAGCCAGCGCCCGTGCAGGAACGACGCCGGAGGCTTCTCCAGATGATGGGGCTCTCCGGTGACCCCTCTCTGGCGCGCCTCGAGATGGGTCGATCGGCCTCCTACGACGGGCCCATCCGGCCGGAGACGGTGTCGCCCATCTCCCGATCCAGATCGGATGGCAGCGTGCCGGCCTCCGCCACCAAGCCCCCGCTCGCGGCCCGGTCGCGCCAAACATCGTCCGACTCCTCCGAGGCCACGCCAGGGGGAGATGACGCGGACCCCAGGTGCCTAATCCGAAACCTCGACGACGGCAGCGAGTTCGTGGTGAAGGAGGAGTCCGCGCTCCGCGAGGTGGGCACGGGGAGGCAGCTCACCATGGAGGAGTTCGACCTCTGCGTCGGTCGCTCCCCCATCGTCCAGGAGCTCATGCGCCGCCAGAACGTGGCAAGCTCCGGTTCGAGCAACGGAGCGTCCGCTCTCATCCAGAGGTCCAGCTCTGATTCAAGCAACGGCGCGACGCGCCACAGGCGGCGCGGCAGCTGGCTCCGGAGCATCCGCAACGTCGCTGGCTCCATGGTGGTCGGCTCCCGCGACCGCCGAAGCAGCGACGAGAAGGACACCTCCTCGGAAAAGGGAGGGCGTCGGTCCAGCTCAGCCACAGACGACAGCCAGGAAAGTGCCAGCGCCGTGCGCCGTGGCCCGGAGCGTGTCAAGGTACGGCAGTACGGGAAGACATGCAAGGAGCTCAGTGGGCTGTTCATGAACCAGGATATACAGGCGCACAACGGGTCCATCTGGAGCATAAAGTTTAGTCACGACGGGCGGTACCTCGCGAGTGCTGGGGAGGATTGCGTGATCCATGTCTGGGAGGTGTCGGAGCTTGAGAGGAAACGGGAGGGAAATGGGGTGTGCAATCAACTTGTTGCCGTCGTGTGCAATGGTTCGCCGGAGCCGATATTGGCATTGGCAAGTGTTGATGGAAGCTGTTGGGAGAAGAAGCATCGGGCTAGAATCTTGGAAACTCGGAAGTCTGCGAGCTCTGACCGGTTGATGTTTCCAGAGCATGTGTTCGCACTATCAGAAAAACCGGTCAAAACTTTTGAGGGGCATTCGGAGGATGTGCTTGATCTCTGCTGGTCTAAATCTCAGGTAATGTTACAAGGTTTCTGTTCATTCAAAATTCCTCCACTGTTGATGCTCCTTGAATACTCCTATAAAGGAAAAAGGGTGAAGGTTGAACATAATCTCACAACCTAAATTCCACTAAAATTTAGTAGTGACAGAGTGTGCTTCTTAACTCTCAGTTAATTTCAACTATAGTCTTAACATCTATGGTGAAACCTCGAAGTGCATTGTTTTCCATCAAACCATCTTTGTCATAACTGTTAGTCCAACTGTGTCAGAACAAGACACTGGCATCGAGTAGTCAAGGGCTGGTACAGTTCAATCCTTATCACACTTTGGTGTAGTTCTTCTGAAACATGGAGCATATTGATGCAAATTGGTGTCCTTTAGCTCTGAACTAATCCTTCTTTGTTCATTGGAAGGAAGGTTAGAAGTGCATAAGCAGCAATCTGGCGAATTGCCTGCCTATCGATTGCATCATATAGAAGAGGCACTGCCCAAATTCTGCCATAGACTAGTTACTTACCATGTCCAAGCTCATCAATTCTATTATATCTGTTACATGATGTGACATGAATACTCCTGTTTTTCATTTAGTGACTAAATTTTAGAAATGATTCACTAATAAGATACACAGGAATGCTATGATCTACCTTTCAGCATGCTGTAATCCCTAAAATGGCGATAATGTAACAATTAGAAAAATAAGTTTGTTGGATTATGTCCTATGAATCAATGTAAAATATGTTGTTCTGCAAAATCCATTTAGCCTTAATATAATCTCCCATACTAGTACTAGTAGATAATATAAATATATTTGAGGAGTTTCAGCCTTCTTTTGGTACTACGTTACAGGTTATTTCATTTATTCATGTTTAAGATGGATATAGGTTTCAATAAAGGTCCCGATGCATGACTCTGGTGACTCCTGTATACATAGATGAAGTTAACTTGGTACCATGTTATATCATTATTTGTCCAAAGTAGGACTGTCAGGAAATCCTTCTAGCATGTTTCATATTCAGCATGGCATGCTGCATAACATGGATGACATATGTTGCTTGACCAATTGACTTTGAATTTCATGCGCATCAGTAACTTATGGAGTTATGGTCTAGAAACCAGGACTCGCATCATCAACTATGTATTGAAATTTCAGATGTCTATTGAGAGAATGTTAGTTCATCCTACTAGCAGTTCATTGCCCTTTGAAAGTCCAAATGCATGATCAGATGCTCCTAATTTGTTGGGCCCTTGTTGTAAGAAGATGTTAGTATCTAATTGGCTTTACATTGTGTTTGGCTGGAGAAGATAGGAACTTCTCCCAATGCATGCAAAACGGAGCGGCTCATTAGCACATGATTAATTAAGTATTAGCTTAAAAATGAAAAATGGATTAATATGATATTTAAATTAACTTTTTTTTTTTGCAAAAAACCACACCATTTAGTAGTCCGGGAAGCATGCTCATGGAAAACGAGAAAGTAGAAGATGGGAAGAGGGAGTATTGAACACACCCAGAGGGTAGTTACCTTTTGCAGCTAGTTATACATATATGGTTTCTATATACCTTATGTGGCTAGTTACATATCCAGACTTCACATTTGTCAACAACAGTTACATGCTTCCAGCAATGCATCCCCAAATTATGATTGCTACAATTCCATGAATCTTGTAGTGGTATTCTTATGGTTTTGTAGCTATTCCAGATTTTAATTTCTTTCTTTTTCAAACATCGTGCAGTACTTACTTTCATCTTCAATGGATAAAACAGTGAAGTTATGGCATATGTCAAGAACTTCATGTTTGAAAACATTTTCACATAGTGACTATGGTAAGATCTCGAGTTGACATTAGCAGTTTTGCGTGTTCTCTCTCTCCCCCAAGCACATATGACGTTTCTCACTCTGCGAACATACTCTAAATTTTCCTTTGCTGCTTTGCGTTTCAGTGACATGCATCCAATTCAACCCTGTTGATGATAGATACTTCATTAGTGGTTCTCTGGATGAAAAGGTTCGCATATGGAGCATTCCGGGACGTGAAATTGTTGATTGGAATGATCTGCATGAAATGGTCACTGCTGCTTGCTATACACCTGATGGACAGGTTTCTACACTATATACTGATGTATGTGACCGAAAAGGTCTTTTTGTATGTTAGCTCTAATACCTTGTCTCATATTTTCTGAAGAGAGCATTAGTCGGTTCCCACAAGGGCAGCTGTCATATTTATGATACATCTGGTATATCTCACCCTCTCATGATCCTCATATCTTATGAGTGTATTTCTGTATGTTTTTGGCTTACTTTTCCTTCAGGAATAACCTGTCTCTCGATCTTATGGCCAGATAATAAGCTTCTCCAAAAGAAACAGATTGACTTGCAAAATAAGAAAAGGAAGTCCAATCAGAAGAAAATCACAGGGTTTCAGGTGCTTCTAACACACTTTTGAATATGAAGCAAACTATGTGCAGATCACAGATCTTCTCTTACTGAATTGTAGTTCCTTGAATAGTTTCTCCCAGGAAGTTCTTCAAAGGTGCTCATCACATCTGCAGATTCACGAATACGAGTTGTTGATGGTTTTGAACTAGTTCATAAATTCAAAGGTATTAAGTTTTGTGCCTTGGAACTTATTCATATCAGATTGTTTTTGTTCAAGGTTTAGTATCCTTTTTCTCAGATATACAAATACTCCTGAATGTTACTTACCTGCTTCTTTTCGGTTGTACTAAGTACAGTCCCAGTCAAACTTCTTATTCATCCATAAACCACCTTTGTTACTTGTTACTTTTACCACTCCTTTTTTTGTTGCAGTGTTGCACTGGAATCCAGGTGTATAGAGTTATGCTAGGAAGTCATAATAGGTCTGCAGTAACCAAATCATGCTGTGATCATCAGATCACAAATACTGCAATTCCCTGCTCATTGATTAAAATTTTGAACGTGACTAGTTAAAACTAGTTTCTCCTGTCGTTTTCTTTCAACAAAGTGCCAAAACTGTCAGAATCCACTTTGTTGAGGCAATAGTTGTAATGTTCACTTAACATGTTATAAAATAGTTATATCCATCTTTCGATGAGTCCAATTTCTGTATACCTTTCCCCGTGACCTTCTATCATTGGTTGTTTTGAGTTTAACGTCTTCTGAATTCTGATACCATGCACCGTTTCAGGTTTTCGAAATACCAACAGCCAAATATCAGCTTGCCTGTCTTCGAACGGGAGGTATGTGATCTCTGCGAGTGAGGATTCCCATGTGTACTTCTGGAGAAACGATGACAATTCTGCACAGGGCAGAAGCAAGGCCGTTGTGTCTGTCACAAATTCGTATGAACACTTCCACTGCCAGGATGTGACTGTAGCTGTTGCTTTGCCATCTGCTGGATCAGCAATGACGTCCAGAACAAATTCCAGGAAGACCGAGGAGCAGGATAGCATACCGCAGCAGCACACTCAACCTGACAAACAGCAAGATTCCTCTGATTTCCAATGCCTAAGCGGCAACGGCCTAAGCACTAGTTCAAACCACAGTGGTGACAGAACATCTGCAACTTGGCCTGAAGAGTTGATGACACCAAGTAAGCAGAGCCCTCCGTCCAGTACCAGCCTTCCCAACGGTGCTGGCCAAGCACCAAGCCGGTCGGCCTGGGGTTTAGTGATCGTCACGGCAGGCCGTGGAGGCCAGATCAGAGCATTTCAGAATTTTGGGTTTCCTGTTCGAGTATAGCAGCTATTATCCTGGTGAAGATGCTGCCTGTACTCTGTAGTCGCTGCCCCTGCGGCAGAGATAATTTTTTGTGTATAGCTAGGAGGATACGTGGGCAATTTGCACAGCGGTCTGGGATTGGATCTGGTTACTTGTTACCAAGGTGCACAAAGCTCCGTTCTTCGACTAACTTACTACGGCCTGGGCACACAAGGTATGCTGAATTCATTTGCCCGAAACTGTACATGGGAATGGCCCAGAAAGAGCGACGGGCGCCGGGCAGTCGGAGTGAGATCTCTCTCTTTGCCATCCATCTTTTCTCTGTTTTCCCCCGCTCAAGTCCGTTTTAGCTTTTTTATCCTTTTCTTTCTCTTGTTTTCTTTATTATTATATATTCTTGTAAGAAGAAATCTCAGTGGTACACAAATAGAAAAGCGAAAAAAGGAGTTGCATAGAGTGGTGAAATTCTTTACACTAGCTTCGCAGGCTTGCAGTATTTAGTGTTACGCGGGTAAAGTAATTAGAAAGAGATGAAAATTTTGGGTTCTGGAGCTTGTAGTCCTTGCTCATGGACAAGGCTGGAATAGTTGAGTTACATTTCTGGTGTATATGTTCTCTCGTTCAATGTTCAATCGTCTACTGCTCAGCATTTTCTTTTGCTGTTTCTGGCAGTGTCTTTTATCTTTTGTAATCATGTACGCCATATATGCTTTGCCTGTGCGCCATGTATTGCTCTCAACTTCTCGTGTAGGTGTGTAGACCGTAGCTGCAAGAAAACGCCATCCAGTCATATACGCCCCCTGCGTCTCAAGGAGTCGCGTACCACGGACCACGGTACGTCGGTACCAGAAGTCACGGAACTAAGGTGGTGTTTGGATGCAGATACTTAACTTTAGTCTCTATATTTAAACACTACTTTAGAGTATTAAATATAGACTACTTATAAAACTAATTACATAAATAAAAGCTAATTTGCGAGACAAATTTTTTAAGCCTAATTAATCCATAATTAGAGAATGTTTACTGTAGCATCACATAGTCTAATCATGGATTAATTAGGCTTAATAGATTCGTCTCGTGAATTAGTCTAAGATTATGGATGAGTTTTATTAATAGTCTATGTTTAATATTTATAATTAGTGTTCAAACATCCGATGTGATAGGAACTTAAAAGTTTTAATCCCATCTAAACAGGGTCTAAAAAGAAGCCGTCCCTCATTTTCGGGAAGTATTCACGTAATAATGAATCAAAAGCAGCAGGCATGAGATGTCGAAACTAATCATTTCTGTGAAAAATCTGGTAGCGAAGAGATGGTTTTCAGAGCGGTTGTTAAATTAGAGAACAATTTTGAAGGATCAAGATGGTCTGCAAGAAGCAAAAGCACTCCAACACATGGCAGTGAAACATACATGCGACGACTGGGTGCTCCTTGTTTTAAGAGTAAATTGTATTATCAGCACATAAACTTAGTAAATTATATTAATTTAGTATATAAACTTGATACTTGGGTGTAATATAACGTATGAACTTGTAAAATGTTGTAAAATGTTTTGTTTGATACACGAACTTTGATACATGTGAACCAAGATTAAAAGGTTATGACATGGCTAGTTTGATCAGCATAATGCAATCTTGCAAGACAAGTGTAAAGGAAATCTCCTTGGTTGTTATTTAAAGTCCACATCGTAGAAGCCTCGAGTATTTGCTGCAGTTTCTTACATGCAAAATAAAGGAAAAGACTATATGTACTAACTTTTTTTTACTAAATTTTTACTAACACTGATGTGTTATGCTACGAGTGTATCTAGATTTTTCATAACTCCCATCTACCTAAATCAAACGGTTGAGATAATTGTTAGTAATAACAATTTAGTAAGAAAAAAATTGTATGTGAGCATCCCATTTTTATTCAAACCAGCCTCTTTGCATGCGAATTGAATGGCCAACAAATTAGCATGGAAACCAAACAACCATGCGTCCACCGAGGATAATGTGCTGATCAATTTTGACTATTTCGTTTTACTTAGGCGTCGATCAAACGTGAACAGTGGAAGTATGTGACAAGGACGCCGGTGAACAGTGGGAGTATGTGACAAGGACGCCGCATAGCCATGTCTTTTTTTAGAAGGCATAAAAAATCAATGAATAATGCAAGGGTAGAAAGTAAGAAGAATAATGTACTTCCTCCTTCCCAAATATAGAAAACCTAGTCATATATTAGACACAACATAATACTATGAATCTAGATATGGGATGTGAAGAACATTCCATCCAAATTCACATTACTATATTGTGCACCAAGTTACTGTTTTGGGACGGAGGGAGTAGAAACCAAGTTTACAAATATAACATGTCTCATGCAAATGTCATAATTAGTGTCCAACTTGGTAAAATTAATCTTGCCATGCCATTTGCCACGGCTCGATACACTGGATAAGTTCGTGTATCAAAATGAACATTTTACAGGTTCATGTACAAAATCGTATTATCTAATAAATTTATTTATCACCAATACAATTTACCTTCATTTTAAATATGGCTTACACCAGCATTTCAAAAGAGGCTCATCCCGCTTTAACATTTTTCTCATCAGTCCCTCCTACCTTAGACTGATTGTAAGTAACGCGAGAAAGATATACTTATAGAAAATATATATGATGCTTTATATAGTATTAAAAGTAAAAAAGAAAAATCAAAACATACACCCTTCCACAATGCTAATCTCCGTAGGAGACAAGTTTATATTTGGACTTTGGACCCTAAAAATGAGGGCCACTCTCACGGCCACTCTCGGCCAGCACCAGGCGCAAGCGGTGGAGAAGGGGAGACAGCAACGGCTGAAAGTACAAGCGACAACAACCAGTGAAGCACAGCCGAAGTTATGGCTGACTGGTGTTACTCCCCACCCGCCTCGTCTAGCTTCTAAATAAAGCGTCTTGCTTCTGCTCTTCCTCCCCACTCCCCCACCCCTCCCCCACCACACCAGACCAGAGCTGTATCAAACGCCCACCCCTAGGGTTTTTACCCCTACGGCCTCCCTCCCCCACTCTCCCCTCCTACCCGAGCTCCCCGCCGCCGTCATTGCCGCATCCCGGGGCGCCGAGCCCCCCTCCGGCCCGGAATCGGCGAGGAATTTGAACGCCATGTGAAGCAAACCAGGCACCGTAAAGAGCACACGCGCATCCCCGCGCGGACGCTTGACAGGAACAGATCCCACCGGTTTTACGGATCTCCGGGAGTCAGGACCGGTGGCGCGGAATAGATTTTTTTTTTGGACCTAAGGATTTGGAAGCCTCTGGAACCCCAACCGGATTCGATCCGAGGACATGGTGATGATGATGATCAAATCCGTGGTTTATTACGGGAGCACCTCCATTGGGCATGTGGAGGTGTGGCCCAAGGGCGGGACGGACCTGGCGGTGGCGGCGTGGGCGCGGGAGATCCGGGTGGACCACCTGTCGCCGCCCAGCGAGCGGTGCCCGCCGCTCGCCGTGCTGCACGCCGTTGCCGCGGGCGGTCGCTGCCTCGTGATGGAGTCCAGGCCCACGGCCACCGCGGATGAGCCCCCGCCGCCGCTCGTCGCCATGCACGCCGCTTGCCTCAGGGACGGAAAGGTACATGAATTACTCCCAACAAGAAACCCACAGACAAATAATAAAAGAAGGGAATGAACGAACGAATGGAACATTTGATTTTACATGGTCAAGTTTACCCGAACAGCAAATAGTTTTTTAGCACATGAAAGAACTAGTCTATTTTTTTCCCTGAAACATTTATTGGTAATTTATCTCTGGACAAGTAATTTGACAACGATGGTGACATGACTAATGATACTGACTGGAACCTATTCCAGAATTCACTTTTCTTCATGATTATTGTGTGTACTGGACTTGATTTTATTCTATCTCAATTTTCAATAATTGAACTAATCGAAATACAGAATCTGGCCTGATGCTGTTGAATGACAGAGGTTTCAGGAACAGCATTTCATGTTTCAGAAATGGAGAAGTTTTGATTTTTGAGTGTGACACTTTTAATGGTTGTTGAAACATACCCAATGCAGCGAAGAATTTGCTTTTCTTCAATAGTTCTTGACTTTGGACTTGACACACTTGCTATCAGGAGTTCATTGCTGCAATTGATCATGAACCGTGAACTGCTGAACTCTGCGTATTGAAAGACATTGTTTGAGGGATGAGTGAAGGTTACTTGAATAATTTGAACGCATTAATCTAACTCATCTGCTAGCAACTTAATGTGTTTCTTGCTTCCACTTGAATTATTTGATAATTACATCTATATTAAGAAACACACTATTTTCGGCCTAATATTTCCTTTACATAGTTGGATTAAATAGCATTTAACTGTGGTCAGGACAGTGCTATAAATATTCCTGGTATTGATTTCGCTATTTTAAGATTTGGATGGATATAGAGTTTTTAATCCACACATGCCTTTTTTTTAACAAGTATCCCCTTTTTTGCATTTCTGTTGTACCTTTTATTTTCTGTACTACTTTGTGGATGTTACTCTGATATGCAGGTATGTGAACAAATGTACTAGATGCCATGCCTTTTACATGATTGCATTTTGTATTAGTGACGAACATTTCTCCTTTTTCTTAATCCTTTTCATTTCCTTTCATTCTCTCCTGCTTGCAGACTGCTGTTTTTCCTCTAGGAGCAGAAGAGATCCATTTAGTGGCAATGACTTCCAAGAGAAACTTGCCGAATCTTGCTTGTTTTTGGGGCTATAAGGTGCCATCGGGCTTGTATAATTCTTGCTTGAGCATGTTGAATCTTCGTTGCCTTGGTATTGTGTTTGACCTTGATGAAACATTGCTTGTCGCCAATACCACACGGTCCTTTGAAGACAGAATTGATGCACTTCAGAGAAAGTTGAGTAACGAGATTGATCCTCAACATATTAGTGGTATGTCGGCAGAGATCAAGAGGTACCAAGAAGACAAGTCTATCCTAAAGCAGTATATAGAAAATGATCAGGTTATTGATGGTGGCAAGGTTTATAAAGTACAGACTGAGGTTATCCCACCTTTACCTGATAATCATCAGCCTATGACACGTCCAATCATAAGATTACAAGAGAAAAATATTATCCTGACGCGTATAAATCCATTGGTATGTATTTCTTCAATCAACCTTTTTCTAGAGTCATGTGATGCCAGATGTCTGTTGTCTCTACATCTGTTACATTGATTAACATAAAAATGAAATACCACAATTCACTTTATTTTGCATCATGTGCTTTGATTGAGTTTACCATCATAACTCAATTAAATCTATTTTGTACTCTAATTTTACTAATTTTATTTGGCACTGCTTTTTAAAAGAAAAATATAGCAACCTTTTGGTTTTGGTGCTGTCAGTTCTTAATGTATTACAAATCATGTAATTAATGTGACTCAAATTGAATTGGCAAATAAGCCTTGCTTAGTGGTTGGTACTGTTGAGGGCAAGTTGCATTAGCTGGTGTGGCAACTGAAAATTTGATCTCCTATTGCGATATTTTGAGCGCTAAGCACTTCCCGTCTATTCAGCTTTGATACAACCATGTTCCATGTTTCCATGCTGTTATACTGCCTAGTTGATTTTCCCTTTTTCTTAATTAGATAAGAGATACCAGTGTTCTGGTACGGTTGAGGCCTGCATGGGAGGATCTTCGGAGCTACTTAATTGCAAGAGGTCGCAAACGTTTTGAGGTATATGTGTGCACAATGGCTGAGAGGGACTATGCTTTGGAAATGTGGAGGTTGCTCGATCCAGATTCAAGATTGATAAACTCTGTTCAACTTACTGACAGACTTGTCTGTGTTAAATCTGGTAGGTGTTAGCATTACTATTACTTTCAAACAACACAACTACCAAAGGAATATAGTGTCATTTGGTATATTTTGTACACCGCAATCAATGTTTTGTGTTGTCTAATTTCCTTCATACAAATTTCCATGTGCATGAACATAATGTCTTGGAATTTTCCATCTTTTGACGTTAATGCTACACCACTCTTATAGGCTCTCGAAAGTCTCTGCTGAATGTATTCCATGATGGGTCTTGCCACCCAGAAATGGCCCTAGTGATTGATGATCGCTTGAAAGTTTGGGATGAGAAAGACCAGTGTAGGGTTCACGTTGTTCCTGCCTTTTCTCCATATTACTCTCCCCAGGCAGAGGTAAGGTTTATCTGTACTTTACACCAACACAAATATATATTTTTTAGTATTGGTTATTGAGGGTACCTTGTCTTGAACTATCAGGCAAACTTCTCTGTTCCAGTTCTCTGCTTTGCTAGAAATGTTGCATGCAATGTCAGGGGTGGTTTTTTCAAGTAAGGATATCCATCTTTGCCTATGTGATCTAAGTAAATTCATTGCCATGACTCATTGTAGTCCCAGCTAAATTTAATATACTCCGTTCTGCCACACAATTTTTTTTCTTGTTATTGTGCCATAGACCAAGTGTGAATTATTTTGAGATACAGAAATTTACGATTTAATTGACAGAGAATTTGATGAGGTCCTTCTGCCACGGATAAGCGAGATTCACTACGAGGACGAAATAAATGATTTTCCGTCCGCTCCTGATGTTGGCAATTATTTGATTACCGAGGTAAACTTTGTAAAATGCATGTTCGATTCCCTAGTAACTGCCAACTTACACTCAGTCTCTTCAATAGGACGAGAATGCTGCCATTTTGAATGTAAACAAAGATCCTCTTGCTTTTGATGGTATGGCAGATGCAGAAGTTGAGAGGAGATTGAAGGTGTTCACTTCTACAAACCATTAGTTCACTACCCTGTTCTTCTTGGTTAATATTGATGTGAATAGAAACTGAATACCAAGATGTACTTTTCCTAAATTAGATGCTGCATATTAATAATATACTCTAGTTATTTTTTAGGTTTTGCACAATGCATTTTGGAACAAAAAAAATACACTGTTTAATATTTCATGTGTATTTTTTTGTTCATTAGGAATTATGCTAGGCACAAAATCTCATGGTCAACAGTATTATAAAATTTTGTTTGAATATGCAGTTGCAATAGACTATTGGGGCATTAGATCAATCTAATGTCTCATTCAATACTTTAATATATTATACTGTTCAGCATAGTGTTTCTCTATTTACATGATCTTAATCTGCATAAATCATTTATTTATTTGAAGTGAACAAGAGGGTGTATTAAGTTATCCTAATCCTTTTCGTTGGACCAGCCAATTGCGAATGCTATAGCTATGCCCCTATGACTATGTTGTTACTCCAATGGGTTGACTGGTCGTCTTGTGAGAAAAAAAATGCTGAGATCAATTACAAGCCTATATTATCATGTTTCTTAGCAATGACTACTGTTTTTACCTTTTACGTATGTATATGCACTATTTTCAGGAAGTGTCTTGCAGTGTTCAAGCTGTGAATCCAATACCAACTAATGCTGATGTGATGCCTGTGGCCCCTAACCAGCAACTTATTACATCATCTGTTCCAGAAGCACCATCATTGGGCATGATTCCTTTGAATAATGATCAAGGTCCTCAGCCTCCTTCAAGCTGGCCGGTTGCTCAATCTGCTCCTGTGGATCCATCGCAAAGTTCTCCAGCTAGAGAAGAGGGTGAGGTTCCTGAATCTGAGTTGGATCCGGACACAAGGAGAAGGCTTCTCATATTACAGCATGGTCAAGACACGAGAGATCCTGCACCACCCTGTCCTGCAGGATCACCCGTACAGACCTCAGTATTGCCAGTGCAATCTCATGGGAATTGGTCACATGTAGAGGATGAGATGAATCCAAGAAGCCTAAATAGGACCTCAACAGGGTTCCATTTAGAATCTGATGATATAAATTATGATAAAAAGCAACCACATAATCCACCGTATTTTCCTGATGAGGATAATCTTATAACTTCTGATAGATATAACCGTCGGATCCATAGATACCCCTCACAGGTCAGTGGTCATCCACCAGATCGATTATTCAATTAATATATGTTTGTTAATGAAGTATATCTGGACAATCTGTTGACAAATGCCTGATTTATTCAGCTGCCTCACAGTGAGGATCATCATATGCTGAATCGTTCATCTATAGCCTACAGATCTTTTCCTGGTATGTTTTGTTTTACCTCTGATGGTTCTAAAGTTCTTCTGAAGATTACTAGCTGCATAGGGTAGTGCATGATCTATGTCTTCCCGTTGAGCTCGCTGCATTAAGCTTAAGATGTTAGCATAAGCCAATCTACTAGTCTCTTGTCTTGCATATTTCTAGAGTTGAGTACTTGTGTACCTGTCTAAATGCAACCTTTCTGTCTTAGATCCTTAATAAAATTTTGGTTTGTCATCATAACTAAAGTTATATTTAGTTTGATAATATGTTTGCTAGTTTAGCATCACATTTTGGTTTGAGTTGATTCAGAAGCAACAACACATTATGGCTTACACATAAGTGCTGGATTAATCTTTTTTGAGTTAGTTTGGCTGGCTTGTTATATGCCATCAATCATGATTTCATGGGTTTACTTGAATCCATCTAACTGCCAAGTCTACTGAAATTTTTGGCCCAGAGATGATTTGCCGTAATTGTACTTTAGCTGCAGAAATGATAAGTTGAATTTATTGTAGCTCTTGAGGTCCCATTCAAAACACATCTGAAGCTCATGACTCATTTTAATATTTTAATATCTATTGTGTTCATCATGTCTTGTTTTTCCCACTCTTCACTTGGTATAGTGTAACGTTATTATGTAAAATGCTTCATTATTCATGACAACTAATTGAATGGTTCTGTGTGTTTCCTCGATCCAGTTAATTTCTGAAATTCTAGCTCATTGAAATGTCTTTTATTACATATAATAATATTAGATTGGTCTTATTGCCATTAACGAAGCTTGTGGGCTGCATACATGGTAGTTTTCAAGCTTATACGGGGACATGTTATCAATGGGTTGAGAATTAAAACTGGTTAAATGACTGCTTCCTTTATTTCAATCAATTAAATGTGTGTTGCCTCTTGCTCGCTCAATGTTGCCCGCCCCCAGTATCATGAATGACCCCTCTTAAACTTCAACTTTAGGCTTTCACTTTAGAGCATCTTAAACTTTCCATGGATAAAAAAAGTATCATTTTAAACTGTCTGCTGTCTGCTATGTGAAGGAGAGGACATGGGAAACCGATTTGGTCCTTCGAATCATAGAAGCAGTAAAATAGAACCAGGACACCAGTTTGTACAAAACGCAGAGACCTCAGCTGGTGTGTTGGAGGAAATTGCAGTGGAATGTGGGTTTAAGGTAGTTTGGATGTGAAATAACAGTATTATTATCTTCTTCCTGTATTACTTTGCTGTTGATGTATTTATTCATTCATTTTTAGGTGGAGTACCAATCAACTTTGTGTAGTACTGCAGAGTTGCAATTCTCCATTGAGGTAAAGTAAAAACTTCTGCGAATTCCACTCTCCTTTATTACCACATAAATCTCTATTATTATAAAAATTGAAGATGTTTTTACCGGTATTTTTGGTACGCCATCCGTATTTGAGTCGGTTTTTAAGTTCGTTCGCTTTTGGAAATACAGATTCGTGTTTGAGTCGGATCTTAAGTTCGTTTGCTTTTGAAAATATAAAAGGAGTCGTATAAGAAATCTTTTTAAAAATACTCGCATGCTAACTTGAGATGAAAGTCAGACTCCTAATTGTAGCTTATAATCTTCTAAAAAAATATCCAAGCGAATTCCCACAGTGAATTTCATCATGGCTAAACCATATAACAATAATAAGATTAAAATAGCATTCACCCGTTGCAACGCATGGGCATTTTTTCTAGTTTTATTTAAATGATCATGTTAATGGGCAGTTATATTTGTTATCATGAGAAATTGTGAAAACTTGTGGACTTCAGGAAATAACCTTGGCACCAGGAATTTCTCTATCTCTACAAAGATCATGTGGCTTAAGGCCTAACTTACATTTTCCCAAATTATTTGAACTTGTTTTTTCCCAAATTATTTGAACTTGTTTTTTCCCAAATTATTTGAACTTGTTGCTTCACGCAAATTGTTCTAATCTTCTTGCAGTCTTATAAGATTGCTTCATGTTTAGTCATATCTTTCTTTGTGCATGTTTCAGGTTAGGATTTTAGGAGAAAAGGTAGGTGAAGGAATTGGAAAAACAAGAAAAGCAGCAAAACGCCAAGCTGTTAATATGTCCTTAAGAAATCTGGCAGGTAAGTTCGTTGAGAACTTCTTGGTTTCTTGATTCTGCGTGGCAAATGCCAAATGTATAACTAAAGTATGGGGCCATGGTGTTTAATATTTTTGTTGGGTCAACAGAGAAGTCCAGGTTGAATTTTGTTAAGACAGAGAGGTACACATAGCACATCTGACAATAATGCTGCCAACAAATTACATGATCACCCAATGGCGAACACAGTACTAAAATTTAGCGGGTGCTAGTTAATTAAATCTACCACACAAGATTATCATCAAAGTAAATGGTATTTATATGTTTTGCCATGATGCCATTGAAATTAAAACCATAACTTTTATTAGTTGACTTATATTATCATTAGCACGAGGAGTACTACTTGTAGACTTAATTGGAAACAAACTATGTAATATTGATGTCGCCAATTGTTGCAAATCTACGAATAGATAAATGTAAATGCAATAATAGTCAATACATGAATTAGAAATTATAATGCAGTTGTGTATAATTAGTTGCACAAGGAATCTTGGATTAAGGAATTAAGGCAAATGTTTAACGCGTGAGTTGAGTCTGCTTAAGCACGAATTGCTTCCTGCTTGCCAAAGTCATACTGCTACACTGTGCCACGCTGCTCCTTGCCCCCCTGGCACGTCTCCTGCTATGGACAGACTTACAGATGGATTTCATGGGATTGGTTCATTGTTGGATTAATAGGCTTGGTTGCTGGAAATAATGGATTATCTACCCTAGCCCCCGTTCAATGGAGGTGCTAGGGGGGTGGGGTTGCAATGGGTCGTGCGGCTGCCGGGTGTGTGCGAATCCCCTTTGCTGCCTTCTGCATCCGCTACTGAGATCATCTCACGAGAACACTCTCGAGGATACAAGTGAAAATTGCTTGATCATGGGGTTATTTTGTTTTAAGCAACTTCTAAGGTATCATGGAGGTCTCGAGATATTGGAAAACATTGTTGTTCTGACTTGGCATCTCTGAACTATTCTCTGCTGAAGTTGTTGAATTATTTTCTGCCTTTGTATTATTTGTATATATATCTGTCCTTAACCAATTTCCATTTGGCCTCATGATTGATCTTTTCAAATTGTTATATAGAAAATATAGAACACTATACCAAGAGAAATCCTCATGAAAGCTTTATATAAGTTTTGGTATCTTTCCCATGTAAAATATTTTGAGCCTGATTGGCCAATGATGTTCACTTGCAGAAAAATTTCTAACGTCTGATCCGGATAAGATGATGATTCTGAAGGAGAATGGTTTTAGTAGTAATTCAAACTCATTCAGATATTCGGGAGGTAGTAGAGATGACACATCACCAGTTGCAAGCACTTCAAACGAGTCTAGATACATGGGCGAGAGAGTTGATACTTTAAGAAAACCTGCTGGTTCTGTTGCTGCTCTCAAAGAGCTTGTAAGTGGCTGCCTTAATTATCAGCTTTTAGACGAGTGCAATTTATTTACTGAACTATGTTGTGATGCATTGCAGTGTACGGTTGAGGGTTACAACTTAGTTTTCCAAGAGCAGCCATCACGTCCTCGTGGTTCATCAGGTAAAGAAGCTTATGCTCAGGTTAGTACTTCAGTGAATGAATGTCCATCGAACTTCTATATGGTACATGATTAACCTCTAAAGTAGGTTGTTTAGAAAACTAAAATTGCACCAACTTTACAACTTACAGGCCATCAAAAGATCTCTTTGATCAATCTGTATTTGATGTGATATGATGCCCTTTAACACTAATACAATGGAAGTAGTATAAGATGTTCCTTTTGTTGTCTTGTCAAGAGCTGTTATCCTTTTAGAACTTTTTGAGTTTGCATGTTTCGTTTACCTGCATTTGGTTTTTCAGGTCGAAATAGGTGGTCAAATCCTGGGAAAAGGAGTTGGAGCAACATGGGAACAAGCTAAGCTGCAGGTTGTAAATAGATAAGATAGATGAAATGATTTACTCTGATCACTTCAATTTGTTAAAGTTTCAAAACCAACAAATAAACCCTGAGGTCTGAGTTTCTGCCTTGCTATGAGCAGAGGGAGAGGGATTGTTTCGTTTAACTAAGTTCGATTTGTGGAGTAAAGAATCTTTATACTAGCTGTTTGGACTCATAGTAACTATTTAAATGTTTTCTTTTCTCTTTGGGACTTATAAGGAGGGTCATTTTTCAATGTGTACAGCAAGATGCTGCCTTTCTCTTGTATTTGTTTTAGGAAAAAACATACAACATGTACAACATTGACAACATCAAAGATAATAGTTATTTAAAACTTCTAGTAATGATAAAGATACTACTACGTTGGTAGATGCAGCAATTGCCTCTAGAAAATATTAAAAGTGCACACATGTTAAATGTTTACAGACTCAACTTGGTTCTTGTGTAGATGTTGTCTCTTCCACTAGACAACTTTGTATGCGCCCATTTGTGCATTATTCCTGCACTGCTTTTTTACTTAATATTATGTTCTTTTATAGGCTGCTGATGAGGCTCTAGGAAATTTGAAATCCATGCTTGGTATCTTTGCACATAAATCATCTGGATTTCAAAGGTGATTTTAATCTCCACAATATTAGTCCTCTATTTAATCTAAATTGGTTTGTGCACATGCAATGCCAATGTTTATAATATTTATTCTTTTCCACAGGTCATCGGTATCAAATTTTAATCGCTTCAAACCAGATTTCCAGCGGAGTCTACAAACCATACCTTCTGGTTGGGACTCTAGGAACAATGGTCGTGTTCTTTGATGTTCGTCTTCTGGACATCTGAACTTGATGGGATCAATAGCATGGAACCTGTTGGCCCAGAAGAACTTCAAGGACTGCAAGTATGGACGAGATGGTCATGGAAGGAGAAATCGCTGTGCACATGATGCCTGCATGTTTCGTTCTGTCGTTCTCGATTTGGTGATAGAATTGTGTTGCTGTCATTTCCAATCTAGTAACTCGGTAACTCCCAACAGGTGCTCTGTTTGAAGATGTTGTAACCTGGCCTCCGAGTGAGCTCACGCCACACGGTGCTCGGCTGTGATTTGCCCTGACTCTGTTACCCGTGATACCCCAGTGGAGTGTGGATATTAGAAGCATGACAGTTGGTAAAATGGCTTCCTTGCGTGCAGTAGATTAGCCAATTGTATTGCTCGAATTAATTTGTTTCTTCAGATCTTAGATTTAGGGTGGTAGCTTGATTGGACAGTTTTGCTACGTAGTGGTAGCTTCAATTCCATGGGGGTAATTCCCATGGCTTTGATTCCAGTTTTACACTGCTTCCTGCTGCTCTTCATGGCCATGTTTGGTTCATACAGCAACCGGGTTCGGCTGGTGTTGGTCCAAGGCTTAAGGAGGTTGGCTATGTATACAGATTGGTGCCATACTCCTGCATTGGGTGATGCATGATGCTGAATTGCTGATTGATGCTACAGAGTATATACCTGCATTGGTTGAAGATCTTTATGAGAAGCTCGAATCTTGGTGGCTACGTGCACAATGTTGTCCCTCTTTCTGTTTATCTGTATGCTTGAGATAAGCAGACTTTGGCCTTCTATTTCCGTGAGGAGATAGAGGCCGGAGGGTGTATTTCTTATCACCTCAATCAAAAAAGATAATTAGAAAAAGAAACTGTGATGGCTCATACCAAGAATAGTGAACTTGCTTTGAATCTTTAAGGTACCTCGACTACAGTGGCTACAGGCATCATGATTTTTCCTCTATGCAGAAAGCATTTTCGACTACGAATGTTAAGATCGGAGGAAATACAAGGATCATCAAACACCAACACTTCCGAGGGTGACAAACTGACAAGACTCGCGAGGAGAGAGGCCTCCATTCTTGTAGGCTGTAGCAGACAACCTTCGCCTGCGTTGGATAGCCTACAAATGAAAACGATGACAGAAATTCATGACCCACAGAACATCGTTTTCTTAAAAATGGTATTATTCTTTTTCCGTTTCTGTTTCTAGCTATGTATAAAGTCTACTTTTAATATTTCTTTCAACTTCGTATTGCAATATAAATAGTTAAATTGGTATAAATGTGAAAACTCCCGAGCGATGAATCATCTTTATAGAAGTGATATTTTCTTTTAACATTTCTGATTGTTTTCATCCCAGGCTATAACCTGTGGCCATGCTTGTAGCAGATCACCTCGCGCATTGCTAAGTGCAACGAGTCTCCTTAGCCCCCATCGTGTTATGTTGCACATGTCCAAGCCTTTTGGTCCTTCCTTGTGTTCGCCAGTCAGCCAAGAATCCTATCGGAGTTGGTAAGGACAATGAACTGGAAATGATTCTAGCAGTGAGGCGGTGATGGAGGGAAGGGGCCGACGCTAGAGCAAAGTAGTCAAGCTTGAAGAAGTGGTTGATATACCTCACGATTCTACTTCGCCAACACATTCCATGTTTATTCTTAATGGTGGGCTGGGGGCATCATCGGAGTTCAATAGAGGTGTCCGGCGAGTGATTCTTGACGAGCCTAATAGTTGAGTCAGTAATGCATGGCGTTTTGATGGTTGTTCTATAAAAGGGTGGCAACGGCTCCTCCCTAATCGATTGGGGCTATTAAAGTTTGATCGGTCAGTTTGTGAGGAAAAAGGATAGGATCACGAATTATTGTTGATGGATCGTTTGGCCTATGGTTGATGAACCTAAAAAGGAAAAATAATTTATGAGTAAAACTTTTATATCTATATGGGGTTGTTCAAATTGTAGCCAAAATAAATCTAATTGCCAAAATTTTGGTAAGTTGGTATTATTAACAAAATTTTGGCATGATTTCTTATGTACTGATCAAAGTTTGGAAAAAAAAACTAAATGTATGCACATCTTTGGTAACATTACCCAAAGAAAAGGTATGGTTTGAAATGGCATAAATCTGAACAACTGCTATGTTATCCCTGGTTTAAAGCCAATGCTAATAATAAACTATGATAAATGTAAAATTTGGCAAAGGCTTGTGTAAGTTAAAGTAAACTATACTTAAGTGACTTAAGACGATGAAAAACATTACTTCCTTCGTTCCAAAATATAAGAAGTTTTAGTTGGATGGGACATATACTAATACTATAAATATAGACAGATTGCCTATTCAGACTTGTAGTACTATGATGTATCCGATCCTACCAAAATATTTTAAGACAAAGAGAGTATGCACTTATATTTAGAATGCCATATATCTATCTATTATATTAATAAAGTAATAAAAAAGGAGTCTCCACGTTTGCTCTCACAGCCTAGAAATTCTCACATTAATCCAAAAAAAATAAGAAAAAATAAAAACAGAACTCGATTAGGATTAGTTAAAAACTGAAAAAAGGAAAAAAAAAAGGCATATTAAGACACTCGGGCAATATATTGAATGAGATTAGGATCAGTCGAACGGACAGGATATATTAATCGGATGAAAATATGACAAGAAAAAAAAGCAAACGGACAAGGATGCATGAAACTGTCAAACGGGCAAGGATATGTTAATTGGATGAAAATATGAATGACAAGAAGAAGAAACAAACGGACAGATGCATGAAACTGTCAAACATGAATAAGAAATGGACTCTCTGGTCATAGTGTATTACTGTGGAAACGAACAAGAGTTTAGACTCCAAGTCAAAATAATACAATTTAAAATACATGAAATTCAAAATAAAAACTAAAAATTAGAAGAGGAGTCAAGGTAGAAATACAATTTAGATTATTCTGATTTTTTATTGAAAAAAAATAAAAAAATACTGTTATTGAGACAAGAGTTATATGGAATTTACTTAAAAAGAGTTTATATAGAAATACAATTTAGGAGAGAAAAATATGAATCTCGAAGTGAAATTAAAAATAGTTAATATTGAGAGAAGAGCCCATGTAAAAAAAAATTTAGAAACATCTAAGATTTGAATTAAATATAAATATTATGGAGAAAGAGTTCAAGTAGGAGAACAATTTAGAAATGTTTTAAATTCAGATTACAAACAAATAGTATGAATAGAAAAAGTTCAAGTAGAAATAAAATTTTGAATATCTTAAATTCAGTTAAAAACAAATATTATTGAGAAAAGAGTTCGAGTACAATTAGGAAAAAATATGGTCTATTTAAAAATAAATTTTAAATATCTATAATTAGGGAAAAATAAAGAAAATTAAAAAAGTGATTCCATGTAAGAAATATGATTAACAAAATTCAAAATTTAGGATTAACAATTACAAAAAATTAATATTTTTGTTAGGTGTCCATGAGTTCATATTGAAAATAATAAAACTAACATAAAGAATCCACATAGGAAAATCGGATTGAAGGTAAATATTATAGCAGAAAGAGTTTTGGGGAGGAGTGCAGTTTAGAAATATTTTAAAATTGGATTAAAAATAAATAATATTGAGGGAAAGAATCTAGGTAGAAATAAAATTTACAGATATCTTAAATTCAGTTAGAAAATAAATATTAGTGAGGAAACATTTTATGTAGAAGTTGATTTAGAACTATTTTAAATGTGAATTAAAATAAATAATATTGATAGAAGAGTCCAGTTTTACAATTGAAGGCTAGCTCTTCTATTAGCTTTATATTAATACTATCAAGTAAAAATTCTCACGTAAATTAGCTAAAAAACTAGCTTATGAGATTGGATCTTAACCCTATACCAATGTGACAAGAGTTCGTAAAGTCCAAACTGTGAGCAACATTAACAAAATAAAATATAAAAATACCCAGTAACATAGTAATATTGATAACGATAGTACATTTTTAATTTAAGTTTATAAACTATTATGAATATACAATACAATATGCCATCTTTAGTAGGTGGAAGAATGTCATTCGAGGTAGTGGAAAGATGCAACTTTATGATTTCAATACATATGTAGGGGAATAAGACAAACGAATGTACCATAGGATTTATGCATCTTTGATTTATTGTATTGTTATGAGAATACTAAAAATTCCATCGTGTTTGTTTTATGGACATGGGAATTACTATATTAAGCATTTGTCATTTTAAAGACTTTTTCACAATAGTTTGGTCAAGTTAGGTCAAATCTCAAAATCATTTGTCATTTTAATTTTTTTTCACAATAGAATGTGAAGTATATACTCCCTCCGTTTTTTTAATAGATGACGCCGTTGACTTTTTCTCACATGTTTGACCATTCGTCTTATTCAAAAAATTTATGTAAATGTATAAGATATAAATCACACTTAAAATACTATGAGTGATAAATCAACTCATAACAAAATAAATTATAATTATGTAAATTTTTTGAATAAGACGAATGGTCAAACATGTAAGAAAAAGTCAACGGTATCATCTATTGAAAAACGTAGGTAGTATGTTATTGTACGTGGATATTTTATAGAGATGCTAGCCGCGCAATCTACGCGGGCCATTTTACTAGTTTTGATTATATGACATCTGCAGATTTCGCCTGTAAACTGCGAGACGAATTTATTAAGCCTAATTAATCCGCCATTAGCAAATGTTTATTGTAATACCACATTGTCAAATTATGATGTAATTAGGCTCAAAAGATTCGTCTCGCAATTTACATACAAACTGTGCAATTGGTTTTTTCTTCGTTCATATTTAATGCTTCATACATATGTCCAAACATTTGATGTGACGAAATTTTTGAAAGTTTCAAGGAAACTAAACACAGCCATATCTGTCAAAGAGCTTTTACGACAAAATAAGAAGCAATCAACCCTTTTTATCTGGACCGTGGAACGTCCATCGGACGGTCAGTACTCAGTAGAGACAAAAGTGGCCAACCGGGGGATTAAACAATGTCCGAGGGTTTTTAGGAGAAAGTACCAACGCTCTGGCCCACACGTCACTGGTCGGTTGCGTTCACCAAAGGCCATTCATCAGTGATCTACTGAGCCCTCCTCCCTCCGCCGCTCGCCGCCGTTCTCGCCGGGTTCCGGCGCCTTACCACCATTCCCGTCCTCTCTCCTCCCGGAGAAATCTGAGAAGAAATCCAGCGATTCCAGGGGTATCCGGCATGGCTGATCGCTTCTTCCCCAACAATATGCCGGGCTATGCCGACGAAGGCGCGCCGCCGCCACCGGCGGCAGCGGCGGCGGCGGCGATCCCCTCCACCTACTCCTCCTCTCTCCACCACCTCCTCTCCCTCCCCTACCCCGACCTCGCCGATCGCTTCCTCCACGCGGCGCTTCACCTGAAGCAGAAGGTTAACTCGTCCACCACCGTATCGCTAGTTCGTCACCTCATGCGCTGATTGAGTGATTGATATTCTGGTGTGCTCCTCGTCGATCAGGTGGTGCACGAGACGTGGGATAAGAGGCGGCGCGCCGCCGCGGCAGCGGGGGAGGCAGTGGGCGACTTCACCCTCTACACCGGCGCGCTCGGCACGGCGCTCCTGCTCTTCAGGGCCTACCTGGTCACCGGCGACCGCGCGGACCTCGCCACGTGCGCGGAGATCGTGGCCGCCTGCGACGCCGCATCCATGGGGGCCGAGTAATCTGCGCGTTCCTCAGCCGCTTCGTCGGGCGCAGCAGCGTTTTGATTTGGTTTGGTTTGGTAAGGTGGTGACTCGGTGGGGTTTGGGGGATTTGTGCAGGATCGCCACGTTCATCTGTGGGCGAGCTGGAGTCTGCGCCCTCGGTGCGGTGGTGGCCAAACACGCCGGAGATGAAGCTGGCGTTGCTCATTACCTGAGCGCGTTTAAGGAGGTGATTAAGCGTAAAATGCTGCTGCTGATGATGCCTATAACGTGATTGTGATGATTAGCCTTCTGAACTCGATAAATTTGTAGTTTGACTTGGATGATGCTATAGGTGCAGGTTCATCTCAGTTAAAACTGGAATGGCAATAGAAATGAGCATTGGCTATTTTGGCTTATTATAAACTAGCTGGGTAGCCCGCGCAATTACGCGGCTAGCAGAAAAAAATAATATTTTTTTAAGTATAATCTTACTTAAAATTTATTAAAGAGCTATCTCAATGTTAAGACTTTAAAAGACCAAACCTTATCATCCTCGTGTTTCTAATTACATAGTTTTTAAAATCACACCAGTTGCTACCTCTTATGTCATCTCCTTCTTTATTTGCTTGCTCAATCTATCACTATTTCTATTTATTATTCTTGGAGCCTTTAAAAATTGGATTTTATAGTTTTTAGAGTTTATTGTCACGTTGGGTTTCGTTTTTATAATTTCTAGATGTCCCATCAAACGTTGCCATTATACTCCCGTCCACTATCTCTTCTCTTTATTGTCATTGAGATTTTAAAAATCGAACATAATTATAGTTTGGGTTCATTTTTACTTTCTAGAAGTCCCGCCAAACCGTCAGCGGTTTTGCCATTATGCTCCTCTACGGCTCGCCCGCTGCCTCCCTTCTTTATTGTCATTAAGATTTTAAAATCGAACATGATTATCATTGTTTTTTTTTTACTTTTTAGAAGTTCCGAACCTTTAAAAATTGGACTTGTAGTTTTATTTTTTATAATTTTTAGAAGTCCCATCAAACGATGCCACTATGCCCCTCTGCAGCTCTCGTCCGCCGCCTACTCTTTATTTTCATTGTGATTCTAAAAATCGAACATAACTATTATTGCAATTTATTTTTTATTTTCTAGAAGTTCCGTCAACCGTCGGAGGCTCTGCAACTATACTCTTATACACCCCGCCCACTGCTTCTCCTTTTTATTGTCATTAAGATTTTAAAAATCGAAAATAATTATCAATGTGGTTTTTTTTTCTTTTTACTTTCTAGAAGTCTAGGCAACCGCTTTACTTGTTTGCTTCACATCCTACCTGACATCCCTCCTTTTAATCGTCATTAGGATTCTATTTGGTGTTTCATTAACAATTTTTATATACCATATCAACCACCACCAACTCTACTTATTTATAGGCCTGTTACTTAATTTATCTCGTTGTGTGTTTTAGATGGTCTTTTCTTTCAATAGTCTTTATTTTTATCACAAATTTTAGTTATTTATAAATTTTATTCCTAATTGAAATCTTTTTTTTCTAATTTCAGAATTTATTTTTTCTAAAAAAATTAGTTAATACCATATTGTGTTCTTTTAATGTTTTTATTTCTTATTTTCAACTTTAGTTGTTTCAAAATTGTATTTCTAATTGAACTCTCTTTTAATTTTTCTAATTTTGGATATTATTATATTTTTATTCGAAATTTTAATTAATCTCGTATTGGGTCCTTATATGGATTCTTCTTTCAATATTGCTTATTTTTAATTCCGAATTTCAGCTAATTTTAAATTGTATTCCTACTTGAACTCTTCTTTATTTTCTTTTTCCTTAATTTCGGATTTATTTTTCTTTTTATTCTGAATTTTAATTAATCTCATATTGGGTTCTTATATGGACTGTTTTTTTAATATTCCTTATTTTTAATTCCGAATTTCAGCTATTTTTAAATTGTATTCCTACTTGGACTCATGTTTCCTTTTCTAATTTTGGCTTTTAATTTATTTTTATTTCGAATTTTGATTAATCTCGTATTGGGTTCTTATATGGAAACTTCTTTCAATATTGCTAATTTTTAATTCCGAATTTCAGCTATTTTTAAATTGTATTTCTACTTGGACTCTTCTTTCCTTTTTCTAATTTTGGATTTGATTTTATTTTTATTTTGAATTTTGATAAATCTCGTATTGGGTTCTTATATGAAAACTTCTTTCAATATTGCTTATTTTTAATTCCGAATTTCAGCTATTTTTAGATTGTATTTCTACTTGGACTCTCCTTTTCTTTTTTTTTTCTTTTTCTCCGATTAATGTGAGAATTTCTAGCCCTCACAGCGAACGTGGTGCCTCCTTTCAAAGCTTTTTTAATAATATAATAGATAGATTAATTATCAGGACTTGGCTTGAGCTCCTAAGAAATGAAATTGCTGTTTCTAAATAAGAAGCCACATATCAAACAACACTGAACCATAGAAATTTTACTGCTGTTTTATTACAGTATGCAATAACAATTTTACGTTTGATCGGTTGCACTGTTTTATAGAAAAAAAATGTTAGTCCCAAGTATGTCTCTTTACTCACTTGAAAGTTCATCCATCTAAACAAAGCAATATGTTATCTATGGTAGTATGGCCCATGTTCATGTGACATAACATGTATTATCCTGGTATAGATCAAAATTCATAGTAAATCACCTGATGAGCTTCTATATGGAAGAGCTGGATACCTATGGGCATGCACCTTCCTAAACAAGCACCTTGGAGATAATACTATACCGCCAACCACTACAGTAAGTACACAGTTCAATCTTTAGTGCCTTCATTTGTCATTCTTCCATTCATACTTGTTGGATGATCGCTGGGCACATGCGATGGATGATCATCATCATTCTATTGAACTATTTGTAGGACACTGTCATGAGAGATATTATCAGAGATGGTAGAACACTGTCCACGATAGGCTGCCCATTGATGTATGAATGGTATGGTGAGAAGTATTGGGGTGCTGCTCATGGACTTTCTGGGATCATGCATGTTTTGCTGGACATGGACTTGACTAAAGATGACACGGAATGCGTAAAGGGAACCTTGCGCTACATGATTCAGAACCGGTTCCCTAGTGGTAATTACCCTGTTACTGAGGAGGATAAGCATGATCGATTTGTGCACTGGTGCCATGGGGCTCCTGGCATTTCCCTCACCTTAGCAAAGGCTTCACAGGTTTGTTTTCTATTCTCAGATCATCTCATCTCAACCACCTGCTTTGGCTGCATGTTTCGTTCTGGCAATCTGTTACATTCTGCATATACTATGTCATATCCTTACCAGGTGTTCCCAGAAGAACGATTCCTTGAGGCAATTGCAGAGGCGGCAGAGGTTGTTTGGAATAGAGGGCTGCTCAAAAGAGTTGGAATATGCCATGGAGTAAGTGGGAACGCCTATACATTTCTAGCACTTTTCCGCCTAACGAAAAAGAAGGAACACCTCTACCGTGCTAAAGCTTTCGCTTGCTTTCTCCTTGACCGAGCTAAACAACTGATTGCGGATGGCATCATGCACAGTGGTGATGAGCCGTATTCCTTGTTTGAAGGACAAGTTGGAATGGCTTACCTGTTTCTGGACATGATTAACCCCCTTGATTCTAGGTTTCCAGGTTATGAACTTTGAGTCACATTCGCTAAATTTACTAATGTATCCATTTCCAGATATGGAGAGTAACCTACGGTTAAAACTTTGAAGAGATGAATGGATAACTCGAATGATATTTCTAATGCTTGTATCTTGCATATGATTGTGTGCATATCCAATCTACCATTATCTGGTTTATGATTAGCATATATTTCATTTCTCCGTTGTCTAAAGTTCTGATTAAGTGCAGCAGATTTAATCTTACTGTGTAAGATTCTGATCCAAACACAAATAGGAGTAACAAATTTATGTAGCTCATGGCACCGAGAGAGGTTCTTCTGGTGAAAATTGGAGTAGTTTGTAACTTACAAGCTGTAGTAAAGACTGCAAATTCTGGAGAATAGCAGGTCTAAATTTTTATTGTTGTCCTTTATCTCATAATCCCGTCACGCCAATTCCTTGATCTAACTACTGCACCTCACTCCAACTACGTTTCTGTGATGCAATGGTGAGGCTAGCAAAATATGTCCTGCACTATAAGTCGAGGGACAGTTTCTACTTTCTATAAGGAATTCACCCAGCAATATAAGTCGATTAGTAGTTTCTTAAAGTAGTTCCTGATATTTTTCAGAGGGATCTATTCAGATCCTCGCACGGTGGCATCGCCAAGCTTTGACTTATCTCCTAGCTGTTTCAGTTTATATACCATGTCAAATTTTATAGCGTGCCACATGCAAGTCGATTATCTAATCCAATTAAGCTGCGTACATCGCACATTTCGTGCTGCCTGAATGCTATGGGCGTGCCGATCTGAATGCGAAGTTTTCTCAATGCTGATATATCCAATATGCTGTCTGTTATGATACATCATACATAAGCTGACTGGATGTAAAAGTTAGCAGTACGTAAGGTAGGATCATGATGGTCTAATTTGCTCATTTGCTCTCCTTTACTGCATCAAAAATTTAGCCATGATTTATGAGATCAAGTAGTGGTCACTTTATATACTGTTTAAGTGTTTAGTCGGTTAGCCTGTTACATCATCAGAACATGCATGCAAGGCACTTCAGAAATAAACTTGATGCACCTAAGGAAAAACGCAAATCAAACTTGGAAGTTGGAAGTGGACACAAAAAGACTCATATATGTACAGATATCCTAATACTCCGTACTAAGTAAAAGCATACACTAGACTTAAATTGGAGAGAATGCATGACAGCACACCACACATTGACACCACTGAGGCAGGCAGTGCCTCTCCAAAACAAAACGCCACAAAACTAGCAAGTGTGCTTAAAGAAAAATTTTAACCTATCGGCGAGCATTGTGCTTGTGTTGTGCAGCGGCACACGCTGATAGCGCGCTCTCCCTTCCCCTGCTTCGAAGGGTCCACGCAGAAAATCCCTTGGCTCCAAGAGGCAGGCGCCCGGTGCACGTACGTGCACATGGCGCCAGTTGCCACCAAGGCGAACGCCATGGCGCCTGCTCCTCCTCCTCCGACGATGGCGCCGCCGCCGACGCCGCGGAAGCCATTGCCATTGCTCCTCCTCTCCCTCTCCCTCCCTTTCCTCCTCCTGCTTCTCTCCCTCGTCTTCCTCCTCTCGCACACCACCTTCAGCCTCCTGCTCTGCCCACTCCTCCCGCGGCCAACTTCGAGGCCGAATGCCACGACGATGGCTACGACGACGGTGGCCGCTGCTCCTCCTACACTTGATGTATCCATGGACAAGTCGCTGCGAGCCTTCCATGCATCGTCGCCGCCGCCGCCGACACCGACGACGACGACGACACCGACACCGACACCTCCTCTTCCGCCGCCGGCTCCTCCTGCTTCTCCTGCCAAGAGCAACAAGAAGGCGTCCGCGAAGAGGAACAAGAGCCTCCTCAAGCTGCTGCTCAGGGAGACTCCCCGGACGCGGCGGTTCGCGGCGCGCGCGGGCGAGCTCTTCGCCTCGCCGCGGCCGTGCACGCGGCGCTTTTTCATGACGTGGCTCTCCCCGCTCGCGCGGTTCGGCCGCCGCGAGCTCCTCGTCGTGGAGAGCCTCTTCAGGTCGCACCGCGACGCCTGCCTCCTCATCGCCTCCGACACCATGGACTCCGACGGCGGCGGCGACAGGCTCGGCCCGTTCCTCGACCGCGGCCTCCGCGTCGCCGCCGCCTCGCCGGACATGGCCTACCTCCTGAACGGCACGCCGGCGGAGGCGTGGCTGGGCGCGGTGCAGCGCGGGGACGTCAGCCCCGGCAGCATCCCGCTCGGGCAGAACCTCTCCAACCTCCTCCGCCTCGCCCTGCTCTACAAGTACGGCGGTGTCTACCTCGACGCCGACGTCGTCGTTCTCAGGCCCTTCTCCGACCTCCGCAACGCCATCGGCGCGCAGGCCGTGGACGCGTCCACCGGCGACTGGATGCGCCTCAACAACGCCGTCATGGTGTTCGACCGGGGCCACCCGCTGCTCCGCGAGTTCATCGCTGAGTTCGCCGCCAAGTTCGACGGCAGCAAGTGGGGCCACAACGGGCCGTACCTCGTGTCGAGGGTGGCGGCGAGGTGGCGTCGCCGCCGGAGGCCGGAGGCGGAGGCTGACCTGACGGTGCTGCCGCCGGCGGCGTTCTACCCCGTCGACTGGAACAAGATCGGCGGGCTGTTCGTTGCACCCAAGGACAGGAAGGGCGAGAGGTGGGTGAAGGCCAAGGTTGAGAGCATCAAAGGTGAGAGCTTTGGCATCCATCTGTGGAACAGGGAGAGCAGGAGCCTGGAAATGGAGGAGGGCAGTGTGATTGGAAGGTTACTCTCAGACAGCTGCTTGTTCTGCAATTCCTCCATGTTTGCAAAGTATGAATAGTTGCACAAATGCAAAGAGATAACGAGATTGGAATATGTGGGATGTCAGACAAAATGTACATCTTCACTTGGCAGGTAAGCAATGACAAAATAACAGTGGCTTTGCACTTGTAAGATTTTGTCGGCACGGCAAAAAAAAAAAAATATGTATATGAAGCTATGCTAATCTTTGACTCACAGAGTCACAGTGCACTTTCAGTAAATAATTAATTTGACAGAATGAATCATCCAAATCTGGTATTTACAGAACTCTGCACGTCAATGCAAAGCTATAGACATGGCATGGTCTTGAAGGTTTTATACTAGACCAACAAAGCCACAGTACTACAATATCATGAAGGACTAAATCAAAAAGCTGGATCAAGAATCACACAGAATTCATTCAGTTGGAAATCACACACCTCTTCCTCTATTAAAATTAAACTGTGGAATAAGGAACTTCAACAACTATATTTTTTGGTAGGTGGAAGATACCGCCATATACAACATCATCTGTGTCCTCCCAGGTAACATTTTGGGATGTAGTTGTGTAAAGCAGACATTTACATGCTGTTTTGCGCCTACACCTAATATACTCGTGTTAAGCCCTCAAAATCCGTAGCAGTCCAAGGCAGCCTGATCATTTTGCAGACCTGAATTTCAGAATCCCGTAGGCGATGGAAGCAGGATAAGTATGGTTCATCATTGAACATCGAATGATTTCGAATTTATTGTTTCTAATAGTGTCAGCCTAGAGACACAGACTTCTTGCTGCTCTGTATTAAATGTTGTGTATCCTCAAGCTCTATCTCACTCCCTCTCCATTCTTTCCCACCTTCAAACATCATCTCAATCTGCTCCAGAGTTTTCCCTTTCGTTTCTGGCACGCAGAAATACACAAAGGCCACAGAGACAGTCGAGATAACCGCAAAGACAAAGAACATTCCTGCCACTGATATAATACGGGCCATGGAAAGAAATGACATGGAAACCAAACCACTGCTCACTCTACCACCTACTTGACCTAGTGCCGATGCTTGAGCTCGTAATCTCAAAGGAAATATCTCTGAAGACAAGACCCAACATATTGGACCCATGCCAATTGAAAAGAAAGCCACATTTCCACAAACTGCAAAAACTGCTAGGTCAATCCCAATTCTTGGAGAAATAAGTCCCATGGCATGCTTTTGCAATGTGAGTGCAATCCCCAAGACAAATAAGCACATAGTCATTCCAATGGTGCTAACATAAAGAAGCGGTTTGCGTCCAACTTTATCAATGAGGAAAATTGCAACCAATATGAACACTGTCTTAGTAAAACCAACAGCCACTGTGGCTGCAAGAAGCTCCTGATCAGACTTGATCCCGGCATCTCTGAAAATAGTTGGGCTGTAATAGACAGTAGCATCAATACCCGTGATCTGCTGGAACATTTGGATACCACAGCCAGCATATAGCATCCGACGAACAGCAGGAGAAGGGTTCAACAGCTCCATCCACACTGCCTTGTCCTCGGATTTCGTCGATTTAAGAAGATTTGCAGCTTCCTCAATCTCAGCAATCCTTTCTTCAACCTCAGCTTCAGACTCACTTATCTGCAGCAATACTGCCCTGGCTTCTGGAACTCTCTTTTCCATCATCAACCACCTGGGTGATTCTGGGATCACAAAAAGTGCAAATCCAATGAAGACAGATGGGAGGATACCAACACCAAGCATAATCCTCCAATTGATATGCTCTGAAAGGCCCGAGAAAGCATAGTTGGAAACATAACCAAGGAGGATCCCTAAATTGATACAGATCTCAGGGAGGGATGTGAGAGTCCCACGGGCAGCTGCAGGGGATATCTCAGCGATATAGACTGCAGATACCATGGCACCAAAGCCAATGCCCACACCAGCAAGGAGCCTCCCGATCATGAGCACGGTGAATGAAGGGGCGAACGTCATTATGGCTGCACCAGCCTGGAAGACAATTGCACCAAGAGCCATTGTCCATTTCCTGCCAATTGCATCAGATGTTCTTCCTCCTGACAGACTTCCCAAGAGTGAAACCACACTCAAGCAACCAACTAGGATTTCTTCCTGAAATTCGGTAATGTGAAGATCTTTCTGAATGTAGATTATTGCGCCACTCATTACACCAACATCTGCAGATACAACATGAGCACTGGGTTATAAAAGATCTTGGCAGCTGCGGGGAATCAATCCCTTGGAATCTTTAATTTTAATAACTCAGTTGTCCTATTTCAGATGCTGATTTGCTCGTCGTTTTGGAGCAAGGAAGGACAGAATCCTGCATGAGGACCATCCAGATTCCAGATAACTATAGATAACAAAACATTTCCATCAAATCATAAGAACTGCGACTTTGCCCCCTTTCCCCTCTCTCTCTCGTCGTTGATAGCGTTCAGAAATAAATCAAAGATTTTCTTTTTCTCGTGAATGTACGGAAAGCATGCTCTCTAAGCGGTTACGATTAACGAAGTGCTATCACTGTCGGAACGAAACTGCGGTTCCACTCACGGGCGCACGAATTTGCAAGAAAAATGCGCTGTTCTTATTCGTAAGCTCGGATCCCCGGGGACGGGGAGGGGGGCACGCCAACGGCATTGCAAGAACTCACCGTAGCCGAGGAGGATGGCGTTGAGCGAGGCGAAGATGGCGCAGGCGAGCACGAACCGCTCCTTGCTCCTCCGCTCCCACGCCGAGGGCCTCCTCCGCCCCTCCGGCTCGTCGCTGGGATCAAGAACCGCGTACTTGTTCCTGCCATTGGCGGCCTCCGCGCCCGCCATCGCCGCCTCCCTCCGGGCTCCCGGCGATCCACGGGCGACGGCGACGCTGCTCCTTGCCGCGGGCGATTCGCCGTACTAGATTCGGAGCTGGTCATCAATGGCGGACGCCCCCAATCCAATGGGGGCGCGAGAAAGGTGGGAGATGTCGATGTGCTTCGCCCTCGAAGGTTGCCTGTTCCCTTTCCTACAGGAGGAGAGAGGATTTCCATTTCTCTAATGTTTTGTGTATTCTGATCCCAAGTACTATAAATATTTGCAAGATGATCCCTTCACCATTTTTCTCTTGTACATAATCCTAATATTACTATAAACTAACTCCTAAAACTAGGGAGCGTTCGGCAGGAGGAGTTTTGTGAGTTAGTTAGTTTCGTTTTCCACGCGCACGCTTCCCGAACTACTAAACGGTGTGTTTTTTGTAAAAATTTTCTATATGAAAGTTGCTTAAAAAAATCATATTAATCTATTTTTTAAGTTTAAAATAGTTTATACTCAATTAATAATGTACTAATGGCTCACCTCATTTTGCGTATCTTAATTTTCTCTTCCCCCCCCCTCTCAAACTCACCCTAATATTTATAAGTGTGTCACATCATCACTCACTAGTAATTATTATGTAGAGTATTTTAAATAATATGCAAACAACGTCAAATTATTATTTTCACATCATTTTCATATATACATGTACTAGTTATGTAATACATAAGATGCATTCATCTACATATCATGTAGCAAAGCGCGGGGTATCAACTACTCCCTCCATCTCAAAATATAATAACTTCTAGTCCTTAAGATTTGTGCCAAAATATAACTACTTCTTCACCAACATTCTCTTCTAAACCAATCACAACCCTCCACCATTCAATTTTATCATATACCTCCACTTTTCAATCAATAACAATTTTCCCCTATTTAATTCTACCTATTTTATTTAACCCTAAAAATCTTTATATTATGTAACGAGAGAGTAGTATAGAAGGAGAACCAGGGTTTACAAAACCAATAAAAACCGTTTTGTTTTGTTTTTTTTTTGCCAAAAATTGGACTTCCCGAATTGAAACTGACAAAACGTTAACTCCCTGTTTTTTTTCTCGGAACGGTCTGGTGAATCCAACTTCGTTTCTTGTGGGTTGCTCGAGGGCTCCAAATAAATTTGTGGATTTCCTCATGGTTTGATCAACATTTCTGTTGGTTTTGTCAGGGTCAACCACTCGGTTTTGACAGGAAAAATTCGGGAGCTGGACTTGGACGAGCTACGTGTCCGGACGCTCCTACCGTATATGACTATTCTATCGACCATGAGAGTGATGTGTTACTGGAGAATGGAGTGATTTAGAGCGTAGAAAAAACTATCTGGGTTGTGTTTAAGATTCTTTTATCGTGGAAGATGGATGGCTCGGAAGTGGTCTAAATTCTTTAATTTGGTGTAACCTGACCTAAAAAATCTGTTGTAAATGTGTAAATCAGCAACAGAACTAACAGTAGTATAGTACAATTTGTAGGTGTCACTTTCCTACAAGTTTAAGCAAAGACATGGTGGTTTGGACTAATCAATCCTTGAGTACGACGACGAAAAATCACAGAAAGTTCCATGTAACTACATCAACAATATCATTCATATCACAGGCTCCTATTCGTCTGCCTAACACTTTGTAGCAACCGACATTTCCTTGCAAAGTTGCAAACAGCATGCTCGCATATATATAACTATCTCAGTACACTGTACAATGTACACGTACCTAACCGACGAGAAATAAAACTCCCAACACACTTGGAATGTAACCAGGCAACCAACTGGCAAGTTTTTTGGCCCATCTGGAAGTTCGTGTCCTCGCGTCGCCACAAGTTTCGCATGATTCAAGCGTTTAACTCGATCACGCAAAGCTTTTTTTTTAAGAGGAACTGCTGAAGCTTGGAGTTGGAAGCTTGGAATCATGGCAGGAGCCAGGAGAAAGAAGAACAAGGAGGAGGTGAGATCGATCGAGCAGGAGAGGGAGACTGACCGTAACCGAGGAGGATGGCGTTGAGCGACGCGAAGAGCGCGCAGGTGAAGACGTATCTCCCGCCGCTCCGACGCCTGCGGCGCTGCGCCTCCGCCCTGCGCGCCCACTCCTCCTTGTCCAGCTCCTCCTCCTCCTCCGCCTCCATCCTCCGGTACTCGCTCTTCGTCGCCATTGCCGCCGCCGCCGGCCTCATCTTGACAGGGGAAAGGGGCGTTGATGTTGTGGCAAGCAGCTGCAGCATTGCTTCGCTGCGCGCTCTGCACCCGTTCAGATGTAATGAAGGAGAGCCCGAATGCATATGCCTGGACTTTCACGTTTATTTTAGAGTCTTCTCCACGTTCGCGGCGGCCATGGCCATGGATTTTCTATGCTGCAAGTGGTACGGGTGCAGATTCGCATCGAAATGTTTAAAGACTTTGTGGAGGTTCAGTTCAGATCCGTTTCGTTGCGCACGACGAGGGTAAAAAAGAATTGGAGGGAAGTGCTGGATAGCATGCAGCAGTAAAGCCTGGTTTATTTCTCAACTTTTTCTTTAAACTTTTAATTTTTCCATCACATCAAAACTTTCCTACCCATATAAACTTTCAACTTTTCTGTCACATTGTTCTAATTTTAACTAAACTTCTAATTTTGACGTGAACTAAACACACCCTAAACTCCTTTATAAGAGTTAAGAAACAGAAAAACAGCCTCGCTCTTTTGTCCACCATGATGCTCGATTTTTTTAAGCCTCTCAGATGTTTACAGTGAGGCAAAAGAGTTTCGCATATATTGCAACTTTCCAAGCTAAACCAAGCTAGACAGCGTCACAGTAAGATGAGAATAATATTAGAGGACCACAGTGAGATGAGCATAAATACTGTACAAGTTGGTGATGAGAAAAAAAAAACGCTACAAGTTCTGTTTCAAATTTCTCTCTCATTATCCCTGTAGGCTCTACGCTGCTCATGATCCGCATTGATAGAGCGAAATTTGAGGATCTTCTGAACGCTTGCGAGATGCTTCACCTCCTTTGATGGCACTTCCTTGCTACAGCTGGCTTGCTTGTCCTTGTTTTCTTCAGGAGGTGCCATCTCACCGTGAATGGGTTTTGGTGGAGCATCTGACAATAAAAAGGGATTAGAACATTGAACGAATTAGCTGTAAAAACAGCATTAGATGAAAGAGAAGTTTTCTTTACACTATCTGCAACAAGGGGCTCCTAGGTCCTAATAAACATTGATTAAACTGCCTGATGACAAGGTCAAAACATATATATATATATATATAAAGTTCTTTTGATTCAACCATATCCTAATAGAGGATTCACTAATGGGGGTTTAGAACACGAGGTGCAAGTAGGACCGTGTATAAATTATAAAGCTACCATCTAAAATCTTCAGGAAATATCATGTCAACAACAGCATCTTCACAGGTATCAAATCAATATACTAGTTAATGGCATCTAAGGCCGGTTAATTTACAAAAAAGAAGAAAAGGGGGTAATGGTTTGAATAAAAGAACTTACTTGTTTCTGAGAACAAATAGCATGTGCCAATAGTCTCTTGGTATTCTCCAATCTGTCATTAAACAATCATTAACGGACAGCTAGCTCAGCAAGGAGGTTTAGTGTTTCAATGAGCAAACAGGTTTATAATTTGAAACCCAAAGTACAGACCGCTAATCTTCAAACCAATTATTTTAGAAGTCAAAGTTAGCAGAGGAAAAAAAAACCCAATCGAGTCTCCTGAGCAGATGCAAAGCAATCAGCGTCAACCTGATATTTTTAGTCTAATGCATTGATTGTTGTACGTTGTCACTGAAGCTACAACAAATAACGTATGGTATTCAAATGTGTCATATGTCCACCTTGTCCTGTCAGGACTCTAAGATACACGAGTACAGTATTACCTGTTTTCCTAACGAATATTACTTCATAGACAGTTTCCAATAACAAGAGTTAAACATGTTCTAACTTTTGATCGTGTAGGAGGTATTGAAATATACTCTCTCCATACTCGTAAAGGAAGTCGTTTAGGACAGAGACACGGTCTCCAAAACACAACTTTGACTTCTTTTTTCTATAAAAATATTTATTGAAAAGTGATATATGTATACTTTTATGAAAGTATTTTTCAAGACAAATCTATTCATATAATTTTTATATTTTCAAACCTCATATAATCTTGAGAGTTATTCATGATTTATATTCCCAAGGTTTGACTTAAACATTGTCCTAAACGACTTCCTTTATGAGTATGGAAGGAGTATATTTTTTGAATCTTATTATTCTCAAGCCGGCAGTTTTACCAGATTGTGATTGGACCACATGGCACTATAAAAACTGAGATAAATCAAGCAATTACTAATAGAAAAAAAAAGAAATGAAAAACTCATTTGTGCTGCACCAAAAACAGAGGGAAGAGGTTAAGAAAGGGAAGTCTAGAACTTTCTCAAATCTGAACTAGAATGAAATAGAAGTCTGCTCTCTTATTCTTCATCGGTTGTTTCAATACCCAACTAGCTCAGTGATCTGATTATGCACTAAATATATATTTATGTATTTTCCATCTTACTCCTTTACAGGTTCATTAATTTGGTCACTAATAAAAAATAAATAGATGAGGAAAAGTAGCATTAGAAAAAAGGAAATATTATGTTCTGTTTTCAAGTACTTCACTACAATATTATAAGATACAGATTACATTGAAAGCTAAAACACATTAAGAGGTTCTTTGAAGCTCCTGTAGAAAATTCAAAAAAATCAACTTATTTCACTAAAACATATGTATGTGCCATTGACTAATGGGCATATAAAATAAACACATGATGGTCATATAGTAAGCACGCCAACAGGCGCGCTGATTTTCTAGTATAATCTCAGGTAAAGCTTGAACCATGACACATTAGTGCATACTCGCAAGAACTTACAGGCAATGTATGGCTGTAATGAATCTAGGGCACAAAGGATCTCGATCACTATCAACAAGTCCATACTCCACATCTCAGGGGCATGATCAAACAAGAAGTCAAGCGATAAAAGAGAAACTAAACTAATAAAGTACTCACCATTTTCAGGCCATCACCTAGTATCAAGGTAGGAGTCAATGTATCCAGACCCTGGAAAACATGACCAAACTTGTTAAGTATACATAAATGAACTGAACAAACATTTTAAAATAGATATGAGCATGTGAAAACATTGGTGTTTGCACGTCCATAAATCATGATACAAAAGTGCAAAGTCTCTAAATTGCTGGGAATCGAACGGCTAAATAACACACACTAGAAGCTCTATGTAGTTTGTAGCTGAAACTAATACCAATTGCCAGCAGAAAGGACTTTGAAGAATTCTGAACATATATGCCAACGAAGGTTGCTAAAAACACATGAAACAAGTGATGGATATTAAGGAGAAACTTAGTATCAATTTAATAGACAAGGCACCCAAGTTCAAGTCAACCAACTGAACTAAGTTCAGTTCCTATTTCTGAAAATAAATGAAACTTATGAATCTTTATCCTTTTGCGCTTCCATGAAATTTAGTTCCTAGGAATTTTAGTTTAAATCTTTCTCAAACTAATGGCAAGAGTTCTACTCCCTCCGTCCCAAAATATAAAAACCTAGTACCAGATGGAACATCAACCTGTCCAGATTCGTAGTACTAGGAAATGTCCCATACTATGTTCTTATATTTTGGGACGGATGGAGTATTAGGTAATCAGCATCAAGCTCACTACTCCAGCTATATGCCCATACACATTCCTCTCTTCAGCAAATATCAACCAGGCTCTTTGTTTTTCTTTTGCGAAATAAGCAACCTCTTCCTTGATGTTTGATTTTAGAGCCATCTCTAGATATTACATTACCCCAGGCCCTAACATCTATAAAATCTAACATTCAGAGAAAAAAAAATTGTAAACTCAAAACATGCCATCTGTTCCATTATGCCACTGATTTGGAGAAGGATGAACTTACAGAGAGCACATATGAAGCATTTGGTTGCACGTCGGAATAAAGACAATCATCCAACTCAAGCAAGACATACTCTTCCTCTTCCCCTTCTTCTCCTTCTTTCTCAAATTGCTTATCTTTCTCGTGAGTCTCTGACATATTCAACAAGGAATTTCTCCTAATCAGCAATAAACCCTGAATTCACCAAGATACCAACCAACGTATCTGCAAGGTTTACGGGTGGGAGACCAATTAGTACAGTAAGATTTATCACAAAACTTATTTAAATAAGTGAAAACACAATATAGCATTTTCACTACTAATAAGTGTGTCTTTGTATCAAGTCCACTCCTGCTAAACGCAAGGTAAACAGAGAACTGATTTTACAAGAGACAGTACATTCAGGTTCATGTTCAGCAATATAGATTAAAAAATCAACAGCTGGTAAATCGAATAGTAAGAACAGCGGACTGGGGATTCATTTCACCTCTGTAGCTTCGTTTTCTGCCGTTGTGCCGACGAAGGAGGGTGCGCGGGAGCCCAAGCCGCCGGCGCCGAGGACGAGCCGGCACCACCGGTCGGCGCAACGGCGTCGAGCGAGCTGCCGAGCGCCCTACCCGCGCTCCGCGGGGCCAGCCGCAGGCGATGGAAAGGCGCCGATGCCGTGAGGATCACCGCCGAGAGCCGTAGGGGCGAAGGGAGGAGGAGCGGAGCACTGGAGCACGGAGCAAGGCGGCGGAGCCGAGGCGGCGGCTCGCGGCTGGTGGCTGGTCGCGGATGACAGGGAGTCTATGGTGGGCCGAAGGCTCTGAAAATGGGCCGATCCAGCAGGAAGTCTTGTTTATCTTTTGGGCCGTGTATATACTCTCACCTTGTAGCACAGGTTCTCGTGTGTCCTTTTGCTTTGTTCCACGTGCGACGGAGGCCGCGACGTCTGTCACTCCCTCTTGGAGCTTTTCGGAACGGTCTCCAACCCGGTCATTGACCAAGGATCGAGATTCTCTCTTGCAGTTGCATGCAGCTGCCGCACTTTGCACTAGTTTACCCGTCCCTAGAACGGAAGCGAAGAAGTGCGATTGTATCGGATCTCTCGTTGCGTATGAACAGACAGACCCCTTGGCTGTTGTACTTGTACCCTCTGCTAGCCTGGACTCGAGACCAGAAAGGCATCCATCTGCTTCACCTGGGCGGATCCAGCATTGGGGGCGGCAGAGTCTCGAGCCCCCACTATTAATGTAAAGATAATAAGAGCCTCTACGAAGATCCCACTAAAATTTTTTATCATATGTAGATGGGAGAGGAAGTACCCTACTGCTATTTTTTTCTGGATCACCACTCAGCGTAGGCTGTGTACCTTCCTTCCCTTCCCGCCGCTTTAGGCTTCCACGCTTTGACACGCAATGTACTCCATCATCGTTTAACAGAGAGTGAGAGGTGCTCGTTCTTGGGCAGATCATTTGTTTCGTGCCGTAAAATCAAAGAACGTGACGGCTTCAAAGACAGAATGACAGATTCTCGCTCGTTCTTAAATAAGCCCTGCTTGACGCGTACTAAGCTGGAGGAATAGACAACGGAAAATCAACGGAGATTACACATCACGAACAGCGAGCTTAGTGCTCAGCCTCGGTAGATCATTCCTGACTTCTTGTGGAGTGAGGAGCTGTCTGGCGCCAACGAACAGTCGGACACGTTCGCCTCCACGTTCACCGGAGGGAAAAGGCTGCAAAAGCCAACGACCAACTAAAAATACGGCCGCGAATACATACGGTGTCACCGCGATCCCACTCCCACGTTGTAAAAGAGGGCCGTAAGGGTTGGTTTGGTTTGTAGTCTAAATAGGTCTTATCAAATTTTGTCAATGCTAAATTTTAGTAAATTTTGACATAACTAATTTTGGTAAGGCAAAATTGTATAAGTTTACTATTAAAATGGTCTATTTTCTTATATATGCTAAAATTTAGCTTCAAATCAAATAGATACTAAACACTATTAAAATTAACAAATATTGAAATTCCTAATTTAGCTCTCAAACTAAACCAGTCCTAACTACTGTTAAAAATACAACTGCTAGTCTGGTACTGTCTTCCTGTGGCGCGTGTTGTGCCGTTGAGTAGTGACGTGAAAACGGCAACGGTCAAGCGAACCCGATGCAGCACGCACGGTGGGTCACGCACATCAACGGTCTGCCCGACCCGGTCACCCAGCACGTCGCGCGCACATGGGGCGAGACGAGAGGAGCTGCCCGCTGCCTGCCTGCCCACTGCCCGGAGTGTCCGGGGCGACAAAGCGTGACGAGAAAAGCCACGGCCATGCTTGTTTTACAGTGCTTGTAACGATAGTGGTACACGAGAAAAACACACTGTAGTAATGGGAAGAAAAGAACGGTCTAGTATAGCTACGCAATAATACAAGCTCAGTCATCAGTGCCTTTCCCCGGCCCCTTCTCTCTCTCCACGGTTCTCTTCCTGAAAAAAGGTCAAGGCTATTCATCACGGCTAGCTTCACAAGCGGGCAGGGGGTTCCACTTCCACACTTCCACTGCCCATCCACACACTGGTCACTGGACACCCACACCCATATGGAGCGAGAGGTCTCAGCACAGCAGTTGCACTTGCACACCTCGCAGCTCGCCGGTTATTTCTTTTCCAGCTTTCCATTATAAATCAGGCCACCACTGTGGTACACTACACACGCCCAGAGCCCCCCTGCCCGCTAAACCCTGCATTGCCATTTGTACAGAAGAGCCAGCTAGCCAGCCAAGCGCCCAAGCGAGAGCGACCCATTCCTCTGATCTCTGCCGCGCATTGGGGCTTGGGATTTCTCGAAGCCATAAAAGGGGAAAGCTCCCCAAAACGAAGCCTACCAACTCTCCCAACTCCAAGCCGCCGCAGCCGCAGCCGCAGCCGCAGTGCTAGCGAGTGGAGGGGGAGTGCGAGAAGGGGAGGAAAGGGGAACCACACCCACACCCAACAATGGCGGCTGCCTCCTCGCGCTCCTTCTCGCTCTGCGTTCTGCTGCTGTTGCTGCTGCTCGCGCCCCCCATCTCCGCCTCGTTCTTGTTCGACGGCGGGAAGTCCAAGTCCGCGGCGGCTGCGGCGGCGGTCGACATGGAGTGGCGGCCGGCGACCGCGACGTGGTACGGCGACGCCGAAGGCGACGGCAGCACCGGTAAACTCTCTGAACTCGTCTCTCCATTTTCAGCTCCTCACAGTTCAGTAGAGAGTACCAAAGCATACTGGTTCCTGTAGCATTTAATTGGAAGCATATACCATATGAGCAAATACGCAGGAATCAGTACTGTATTTCGTAGTAGTACTGTACCTCGCATTTTTTTTTCACTGAGCTGATAATTAGGAATAGATACCTGTAAAATAAGTAGGAGGATTATTGTGTTCGCATCCGTCACATTTGCATCGGGCGGCTGTTCACTTTATGCCATTTTTAGTCAAATCAAATTTTGGTAAAATTATAAAAAAAAATAGCTACATTTAGTTTGCTGCCAAATTTTTATAACTATATAAAAAATCCTACTAAAATTTTAGCAAGTTGTCAATTTAGTAAGATTTTTTTTTTGACATCGAAGTGAACATGCACTTAGTTTTTCCATCATTCTCCTCCCGGGGACAATGATTCCGCCCGTTACGGCATTTTTGGCGCGACCTCCGGCGTCCGCGGATCGCGTGAGATCCGGAAGGAATTTCGGCGGGCCCCCGCTACACACCGTGTACTCGCGTCAATCATCGAGTCGCTCCGGCGCTTTACGATTCGTGCTGCGAGGCTTTCAGTGCGTTCAGCCCAGCAACCAGCAAGACCGTGTCAGGTCTTCCAATAACTCCCCGCGATTTTTACTCGGTACCAACGGCTGAGATATTCACGATAAATGCACTCAATTGCTCGTCACTCGTCCCTCCACCGACACTGCTGGTAAATATAGTACTCCTGTTACGAGTAAAATCCAGCGAATCAGTAGTACAAGTGAAGTTTTTTTACTGCCATTTACGCTTTGCAGTCACAACATCTTGCATTAGACTACCTACAGTTTTGTCGTCGTACCGCAACGGAACAGTACAACCTGTGATTCCTCCACCACTGATTCGCCCTGTTTACAGCAAGTTGCTCTGTGTTCTGTAATTAAGCTTTGATGCTCTGACTTGACTGTTTCCGTTGTAGTACTACTACTGTTTTTCCTCTGTAACCACATGCTTGACTCTGTGATCACTGATTACGGCCAAACAGTTGGCGTCCGTCCAGTTCTTGCACGCTACAATCTAGTATAGTGCAATTTGGCATTGCCATTGGCGATAATTTCTTTGTTGGGTTCAACCAAAGCAAAACGTTTTTCTTGTCATATTTTTCAGGCGGGGCGTGTGGGTATGGATCGCTGGTGGACGTGGTGCCGATGAAGGCGCGGGTGGGGTCGGTGAGCCCGGTGCTGTTCAAGGACGGCGAGGGCTGCGGCGCCTGCTACAAGGTGAAGTGCCTCGACCACGGCATCTGCTCCCGCCGCGCCGTCACGGTCATCGTCACCGACGAGTGCCCCGGCGGGCTGTGCGCCTTCGGCCGCACGCACTTCGACCTCAGCGGCGCCGCATTCAGCAGGATGGCGGTCGCCGGCGCCGGCGGCCACCTGCGAGACCGAGGCCAGCTGTCGGTCGTCTACAGAAGGTGAGCAGCATGCAACAACGTAACCCGATTCTTACGGATGGCATGAATCCTTTTGGAGAGATGAGCAGCGGCCATAACACTTGGCCCGTTACGATGTGTATCTACAACCTCCCCCCTAGCTATGCATCTACAGTAGGTTATTAGGAGAGACCACAGGCAAAGTAAATGCATGGTCACTGGACCCCTGCCTGAAATTTTTTTTCTAGCACAGTGATTTGCCTACGCGCATACAGGGAATTAAAATCGTCCAGAGTTGAATGTGCTAGCTCAGCTCCTTATTTAGATCTGCCTGCTGCTGAGTTACACATGCCTCTGCAGCTCTGCTTGATATAACTCAGTCAGAGCAACAGATATCCAAATGGCATTTAACCTCTTGTCTATAATTCCTTTGCCAATGCTGCTTCTCCGTTCATCAGTCTACCTGATCATAGAAAAGCTGTCGCATGCCACGTGTACCGTCCATTCAACTAACAGTTAGTACGAACCCCGAAATTTTGTGTTTCTTTTCGACGAAACTGACCAGTGCAGTGTTCAAATATACCAGGACTGCGTGCAAGTACGGCGGGAAGAACATAGCCTTCCGTGTAAACGAGGGCTCGACGAACTTCTGGCTGTCACTGCTGGTCGAGTTCGAGGACGGCCAGGGCGACATTGGATCCATGCAGATAAAGCAGGTAGCTAATGCATCCTACCAATGTTCTTCCTTCCATGGAGCTTATCAAGCTTCTTTACTTTCTTTCATTACTTTTTTTTCTTTTAGCTGGTAGAAATGGAAAATGGGGTCATCTTTTGCTTTTAATTGCCCATAGTGCTGGGAAACATGCTCAGTGCTGCCTGGGACAAATCCATTGCTGGATGCAATTGGACCACAGCTTCTTCCCTTTGCAAACATGTGTGCAGCATGTGACAAGTTCCTCACCCTCTTTGCTCTAGTGGGCCGATGTGGTTGGAGACATGTGTACTGCCTAATTCCTTGCTGCTTTTACCCTTCAGGCCTCTGTTCAGTGTTCACTGAATGACTAGCATAATACTGTTGGATACTTGGGTCTCTCTGCTGTCCTTTCTAGATCAACCTGAAGTTCTAGAATCACATTTTCCACAAGTTACAGGATCACATATTCCTAACCAAAACCAGCATCTTAGGAGAAGTGAAACCAACGGTTTCCAACTAATTAATGCCTCAGATGCCTTGTCAGGATTTAGTCCTTTGTTCCAATACAAGTTTACACAAAAGAAGGGAGCACTTGCGAGACAGGATAGTAAGTACGGCACACATGGTCAAGAAAGCATCCTGCTTTCTTTCACTTCCTCGCTTAGCTACCAGACTCCAGACATAGTCAAACCTTTGCATAAAAGCATGATTCTCTTTGTCAAATGATTCCTATCTGGAATGTGTGCATAAAAAAAAATTCCGGCTTTGTGCACTAGATCTGTAGAGCAGCAACTCATTCAGTCTACAACCCCAATGCAATGGCAAAGCACATGAACCCTAGCCATCCTTTCACCAAAGAGCCGTCAATGATTTTGCCGCTTTAGCTCGGTCTCCCCCTCTCCTTAACAACAGCAAAGAAGATAGAGCATGCACTGATGCACTTGCGTTGGTCTCCGTCGACAGTTTTTACCAGCCACACTGCATGGTGCCCTTGCTTTTGCACTTGCTAATGCTTTTCACGGTTGTTAAACCCTGACACCCCCACCCTGCAAACTGAGGCACGCTTGTGATGAAGACTCTGTGTTGTGGGCTTGGTAGCCTAGTGGCATCCAAAGATTCGGAATCCCAGACGACGATGCATGCCAGCGTTGAGCGCTATGGCTTGCTTTGCTGTAAAGGTTTCAGGCTGCTCTGCTTAACCTGAAACTGTACGTTTCTGTGATAATCTATTCTGAATGTAGTAAGGTTACTGCTACTTACTTAATGCTTATTCCTTTTTCTTTTCCTGAAGGGTATCGGGTATCCTAGTTGCTCATTGTTGATCTGTTTCTAATCTGTTTGTGCTGCCTTTCACATGGCGGGGTGCAGGCGAACTCAGTGGAGTGGCTGGACATGAAGCATGTGTGGGGGGCCACGTGGTGCCTCGTGCGGGGCCCGCTTGTCGGGCCCTTCTCGGTGAGGTTGACGACGCTGTCGGCCCAGAAGGCGCTCACGGCCCGGGACGTCATCCCCAGGAACTGGAAGCCCACGGCCACCTACACCTCGCGCCTCAACTTCGAGGCCGCCCTCTGATCGGGTGGGGGTCCGCCGGCCCAGGGCCCACGTTTTATCGGCCCGGGAAACTGCCAGGTGGGCCCGCAAAGGCAGGCCCGACGTGGCAGTCGGTCAGGCAGGAGAGCCAGGCATCCTCCATTGTTATGCAGCTCATCATATTAGTTGGTCTGATCATTCATGATTCTATTCATGGTTAGTGTAGCTAATTTAGCTGTTTTGGTGAGTGTGTGTCAGTGTGAGTAGTTTGTTCAGGAATCAGGGAGATGGCCCATGCGCAACAGGTAGCCGCCCTCTCCGAAGGAGAAGAGAGCGTTTTGCTGCTTGGTTTGCTTCAAGGATTTACCTGTAGGAGGGCTGAAGCTGGGGAGAAGTAGGTCCGAGGGTTTTGGATCTCTCTTGGTCTCTCCTGCCTTGACACTCCTGTGCTCCTGTTTTGTGTGTGTGTGTGTGTGTGTGTGTGCGCGCGCGCGCGCGCGCGCGCGCTGTTCGTGTGTGTTTGCCCTGGTCGAAACGCAGTCGCAGGGTTCGTGAGTCAATGCCACCTTTTATGCCGTGTGTTCTTGATCCGGCTGAGAATTGAGATGTTCTCTTTGTTTATTCTGTATGTTTGTTCGCGCGAAGAATGTTCGAAGGTAACGAGCCATCGAAAGTGTGATCGAGTATGCGGTATGCCGCCAATGCCGGCATGTGATGTGATGATGGATAAATGACGACAGGTGGGGAATTGATTGGAAGAGCTGTGCCAGTTGGGAATGACCAATGCTCACCTGAAACCATCCGGCCGCCGCCTCACCTGAAAGGCTGAAACAAACAGCGCAACTGTACTCCATCCATCCCACAATATAAGGGATTTTAATTTTTTACTTGCAGCGTTTGACCACTCGTCTTATTTAAATTTTTTTTGCAAATATAAAAAACAAAAAGTTATGCTGAAAGTACTGTAGATAATAAAGTAAGTTACAAATAAAATAAATAATAATTTCAAAAAAAAATTGAATAAGACGAGTGATCAAACGTTGCAAGCAAAAACTTAAAATTCTTTATATTATGAGATGGAGGGAGCAATTCCGAAGCACATGGGAAGGTTAGATCTAGAACCCAATAGTACAATATTAAAACAGAACAAATCCATAGTCGTAGTCATACGGCGTTCTTTGCGGAGGAAGCTTCGAATCGAGGCTTTGCGTGTTCAAACACTGGCTGCCAAACCGGACCCACATAGAATACGAATCGAGGACTCCTCGTTACAAAATGAGATGTTTTACGTGAACCATAAGAAGCGCATCTATCCTCAAAATTCCATCCATGCAAACTTCAAAACGCCGGTACACCTTGTCTTTTCAAACTTTACAGATCAGCACCGGCTTCGGATCGTGGTTGGTTTAGGTCCACGCGCACGCCGGTGTTTATATAACCAAGTCCCTTGGATATTTCCTCCCCTCGAACGCACGGCAAAGTCGCCAAGCCCAGTAGCAGGAAGAGATCAGATTTCTTTTTCGCCTCCGTCTCCGATCAGGAAGAGGATGGGCGGATTCGATCTGCAGGTGAAGGAGAGGGCCAAGGAGCTGAAGCACCTCAAGGGGGCGGTGATGAAGGGCGTCAAGGTGGTCGGCGACTCGTGCAAGAAGGCGTGGAACAAGGTCAAGAGCATCAAGCACTGAAGCGATCGAAGCGTCGACGAACCATCCGATCCGACATATTGTTTGAGTAGATTCATCTAGTATGATTATTAGTACTTGATTGCCCTGTGCGATCGGGGTGGTTTTGTAGTAGTTCCTTCTATTTGAGATAGAATTTCGTGTGAGATCGCCTGTAAGGATGGCTTTATAGTATTGGTCTATTTTCCCCTTGATGGATTGGTGTTCTTTGATCTTTTTTGGTGAAATCTGTGGTGATAGGGATCTGCCTGTCAATATTCGATACTCCTTGCTTAGGACAACTATAATTCGGTGTGTGTTTTTTTTTCTTGAAAGAACAATTCGGCGTGTTGACGTGATAATACAAGGCGAGGAATTTTTTTAGAACTGGATAAATTTGTGCCTTTTGCAGAGAATTTTGCGCTGTTCCATTATCTCTGAGGCAGGCTGAAACTTTCCTAGTTGTCTTTTTTCACAAGAAAACTTAAACACTTACCAGAGAATTTTGCTTTGTTTCATCATCTCGTAAACACCTTAGGGTGTGTTTAGTTCACACCAAAATTGAAAGTTTGATTGAAATTGGAATGATGTGACGAAAAAGTCAGAAGCTTATGTATGTAGGAAAGTCTTGATGTGATGGAAAAGTTGAAAGTTTGAAGAAAAAATTTGTAACTAAACACAGCGTTAGTAACATCTTATTACTAAGATGCACCTGAACGCGCTAGAGAGCGGTCAACTGGTACATGGCACTCCGGTATAAGATGTGCTTATGCTTATCAGCCAAAATTTAAATTTTCAAACTTAAATTTAGAGTTGATTTTGAAGTTTTTTTCATTTAAGTTTATTTTTTAGCATTTGCTCTTAGATTGCTAAGAACGCGTATATAAAAGTTTTATTCACAAATTATTTTTCATTTGTAAATATACCGTTTCGCTTATCCTCCCAATAAGCGAAACGAAGAGCGGTCAAGTGGTACATGGCAGTCCGGCAGGCGGTAGCGACTATGCCAAACTTTTCTAGTTTCTACTGGTTTCCTCAAGGCCCAAAGTGCCCCAAACTCGTGCAACAAAAACACCCTTGTGGGGCACCCGGAAGAAGCTTTTAACATCTTCCAGCTGGTTGCACACAAGTGACACATAAAGGCATACAGAAAAGAATAAAACCCGAGTGAAGCTAAGATTGCTTAGATTCTGAAAATCATATCGATCCGCTCACGGCATTTTACAAGCCAGCTCGGTAAAATTAAAATTTTTGCCAACCAGTACTGCAGTACTCATAAGGTTCTACAGTATTCATAAAAGGGTCAACTAAATGAAAATATCGCTCTCCACAAGCTGCCTACTGTAGAGGAGCATCAGGATCCAATCTTTTCTGGATTGCAGCTGCAGCCTAAGAAATAAAAAAGATTTCATTAAGTTTTATGCACTTCCCTCTATTACCAAAACTTACAATTGCCTGGTTTCAAATTTAGAATCAAGGGCATACCTCAAAATTGCCCAATCTGTACTGGTACATCATTTCCTCCCGTAGCCGGGCCTGCTCTTTCATTGCTTGAGCCTACAATCAGGAGCAACCACAGTAAGTTCATTGATGGGACAAAAAATGTGTCTCATGTCAACCAATGCTAATTTTGTATAAGGTTTACGTGCTAACATATTATCAGAAAAGATTATACAGTGCAGCCAATTAGGAAGGGATAAACAGGAACTAAGTACATTTATAGATTTTCAATATCATGAACCTAACAAAGGCACCTGAGTTTTAAACAGGCGTACCCCAGAAATATCAGGTATTATTTTGTTATTAACACAATGGGAAATTCAAAAACGTGGTGACACCCATGTAGCCTAGCCTGACAGATATACAAGGTTATGGTGGTTGAGAACTTGAGGTCATGGGTTCAAGTCCTCCATTTTCCCTTGAAAAGATGCATAAATCCTCCTACATATTTTGTTGTTAATGTTGAGATAAAGAACATAAATTGGTGCCACCTGGCATCAGCTGACCAAGTAAAGGGTCTAAGGAAAAACTTGCAAACAGCCTTTGTTTCAAGAAAATTGAACTTATCTAGGTTGCAATGAAAGACTTGCAATGCACACTCCAATTGAACAGCTACCAAGCTGGGTTGCACCCATGGAAGGGATGGTCATAAACAACAATTACTAAGGGCATGAATTCCTGTTCATAAAAAGGATGTGCTGGCAGATAATTCAATCACACGGTGTGATTCCAAGCAAACTACTTACCATTAATTGTCAAAAGGTTAGCAAAAGTCTCTTTGGACACTAAAGGACACTAGAGTCTCTTTGGACACTAAAGGACACTAGAGGACAAAAGATAAGATAATGCTGGATCATCTAATCTTTAAATTATTAAGACCAATCCATTTAATGTGGACAAAAAAAATACTGTAGATAAACATTCTCATGTTTGATGCAGAGGAAACCTAAATGGAAGATAGAGAGCAAAAATTAGTTTCAATAATCGAACCATTCCAGTTTGCATGGAGCGTTTTAAAGCTGCCACTTCTTCCTCCTTTTGCCGTTCACGTTCCCTGAGCAATTCCAGCCTGCATGGAATTTTTCAATAAGACTTTAGAAGTAAGATTTAAAATAAATAAGCTCCACTCCAAATTAAAACACAATGTATTTTGTACTTGTTTGTGTAGAACATGAAATCTGCTTGATGTAAGCAGCCCAAAACTAGAACTAGCTAACAAAGTAACTGGTTCCAAAAAGCAATTTGTTACTCAAAATGAGGCATAACATAACTACATAAGTCGGTGTGATAAAAGGACTAATAGTACAACCAGTAATTTACTTGCTTTCATAATGCCTCATGATTGAATATGAGAATGATTAAACATGCAAAGTATTACAAGCACACACAAACTAAATAAGCATATGCATACATACCGTCGCTGTTCCTCATCATTAAATACAGTACGTTCTGTTCCCAAGGCATTCTTTAGGCCCTTCTTTTTCTCTTTTTCCATCACACGACGGTGATATGCATCCAAGTCATAATATCTGATAAGACAAAAGGATAGGGCCATGAGAAATTTCTATCAAGAACTTGCTACAGTAGCAAATACTAAAAGAGAAAAATTAAAGAACGGGATAGTAGATCGGATTACTTTTTTGACGGAAAAGTAGCTGTGTTGTGATCTTCCATAAATCTGATATACATTCAAAAAATGCATGTCAAACATCCTTGGAAAATGTAATGTAAATGTCGTTTATGAACATCCAGCAGAAGCCCATAAAATTAATCGAGTATGGCAGTAGAATAACTTACTCCTTAAACATTTGCTTCTCTTCCCAATTTGACAATGCCTCCAAATTAACCTGTAACCATATTAACAACAAAAGTAAGCTTCACACATTGGTTTCGCAAACAAATAAAACAGTAGAATAATCATTCAGAAGTAATAAAATTGGGTGATAGATCATCTGGTCTGCTCTACATGATCATATCAGAAGCCAGAATAAAAGGGAAATTGGAAAAATCCAACCAAACAAAGGAATTCAAAGGTACATGAAAAAGGATAAGAGAAGCAAAGTACCTTTAGATCTTTAATTTTAAGTCAGGTCTAACTTAAGCCTCAACTCTAAATTGCAGTAGTATTCATCTATTTTTATGATATTGTTTTTTTCTCTTGAGACAAAGTAATAAGGCTCAAATGTTCGTTTGGCAGCAATTACCCTATATATAATATTTTCACTTAAAGCAGAGCAATACAAAGATAATATAGTGGTTCCTTTGGGGGCAATCAATAGCGTTGTCTTAACTGCAAAGAACATATATAGAATAATTAAACAAATATACCTGCTTGACTTCAGACAACCATGCAGTGAACTCTGGTCGTTTGTTCCTACAAAACACATTGCATGGTTTACTCATAAGAATGAAGTAGACATACTATGCTAGTGTACATTGCGTGCTTCTCCAGAGTCTAAACTCACCCACTCAAACCAATAAAAACTGCTATAAGCTGAACTAAGCAAGCTTCTTGGGGTATTAAGATCCAATTGGATACTGGAATTATATATTGTTTGCTAAGCATATGATTACTTTAAACTTTACGAATTGATTTGCAAACCCTGCTTCAAAGATAATAACGCCAGTCCAGATTGTTTTGAGAACTGAGTAGCAAATTTGTATTTTTCCAATACACCCTCTTGCATGGTACCATAGCAAATTTAAGGAGTGTTAAATTATCAAATCTCTCCATAGCAGTTCCAGTCACCGATTTTCATATTAAATAATTCAGTGGCATATTGTTGTTTAGATGGATCTCATCTTTTACCATTATAACCAAAACCCAGAACAAGATTGATACGGTTAGCTATTACATCATTTTAGATCCCCTTTGTGCATTGCAGTATCTCAGGTAAATACCATCACTCCCTTATCTTACTATGATCAGGGATTCAGGACAGCAACTTGTAGTACCAATCGATACGCATAATGCATTGGCAGGCAATCACAGCATGAAAATACCAAAGTACAGCTAGATAAATTCACAATTTTAATACGGCATTCCAATGAATAACTATGAAATAGGATCCTCACCACATATCGACTTCGCGGATAATGCCATACTTCCCCCACGAGTTTGTCACTGCAGCCTTTTTGCCCAAGTTCTTCTTTTCCTCCTTCCTCCTCTTCTTCTTCTCCTTTTTCTTTCTCTCCCTCTCCCTCTCCTTCTCCTTCCTCTTCCTTCTTTCCTTATCCTTCCTCCTCCGCCTCCTCTCCTCCTCCTCCCTCTCCTTCCTCCTCCTCCGCCGCCGCCTCCTTCGCCTCTCCTCCTCTGAGTCTGTCTCGCTCTCTGACCCCGCACTGCAATCCGAGTAAGAAGACTCGGATTCGGACTCAGACTCCGACGACGAGCCCGAGCTCGCGCTACGGCTCCGGCGCCGCCGATGCCGCCGCTCCTTTTCCTTCCTGCGCCGCTTCCGCCGCTCGCCTGAGTCCTCGCCGGAGGACTCGCTCCCGGCGTCCCCCTCCTCCTCCTCCTCCTCCTCCTCCTCCTCCCGCCTCTTCGACTTGCCACGGCGGTCCCGGTCCCGGTCCCGTCTCCCCTTCGAACGCTCCTCCTCGTCGGCTTCTATGGACTTGCTGCGGCTGCGCGCCGCCACAGCCGCAGCCGCCTCCCCCTCGCCGGCGGCCGAGCCGTTCTGATCCTTCGCCATGCCCTACCTGCCGCGCGCCTAGGGTTTCGCGAGGATTCTTGAGGAGGGGAGGGGGATCAGGAGAGGCGAAGCGGCGAGCGAGCGCGAAACGGATCAGCTCGGCCCAGTGGTTTGCCCTGGCTCGGGGCTTTCACTGACATGTGGGCCAGCAGCCCAGCACGTGTCTTCCCCTGTTGCGCGTCTCCCTCTCACGCCTCTCTGCCCCTCTCGCGAAGGAGACCGGACTCAAAGCCAAACTCCCCCACCTCGCCGCCCGATCCGACGCGCCGGCGGCCGCACGCAGCTCTCCGGTGGCCGTCGAACCATCCGCGCGGGCGGCCACGTCGCTCGCCGTAGCCGCCCACAAACGAAGGATTCGGCGCATCCCGCCGGCTCGCGGTGATCTGACAGGAGGAAGGCCGTAGGCGTTAGCTGCTAGTCTCTGCGTTGGGCGATGTCGAGGGTTCGCGACAGGACCGAGGACTTCAAGGAGTCCGTCCGCGTCGCCGCGCTCGGCCATGGGTACACGGAGGTGAGCTCGGGCGCGCGCGATTGGCGCGGCTTTTCTCCCCCATCTTCGCTATATCGCCTCAAGAATATTGTTGATCCACCGTTTGTCTTGATTTCCTTTTTGCAGTCTCAGTTAGCCGTGCTCATGTCTTCCTTCATCATCCGGAAGCCGGCCCCCAAATTACCCTTTACAAAGGCTGCAATCAAGACGGTAGGAATTCTGTCTTAGCTGCAATGTTGTGGTGATGATTTGGTACGGTAGCTTGCTAGTATATTTATGGTCTGTTTTCGTGTAGCTTGAGAGTATCAGGGAACTGGAGAAGTTTATTGTGAAGCATAGGAAGGACTATGTTGACTTGCATCGCACCACGGAGCAAGAAAGGGACAACATTGAGCATGAGGTGAATAATGGTTATTTGTTGATTTACTCTTTCTTTTCCTACGAGCATTATGGACATCGACCGTAACCTGCTATCATTTTAAAACATACCCTGCAACCTGGTGGATGAGTTCATTGAAAAATTTGTTGAACTACTCTTTCTTTTCCGACGAGGTTACATTAGGACATCAACACTACTCTGCAATCATGTTAAAACATATACTTTGCAACATGGTGGATGAGTTTATTGAAAATCTGATACTAAGGTCTGTTTGACATTGCCTTGGAGTATCTTTCTTTGGTACTAATACTATTATCGCATCCTGATATATTCATACTGGTAACATGTGTGCTTTTCTTTTTTTTTGGCAATTTTCGGCTATGGCTTAGGCTGTCTTCTCAACTTTTTATCTGTCTAATTACTGAGACTATATTAGGTCAGTGTTTTTGTAAAAGCATGCAAGGAACAAATAGATATCCTAAAGAACAGGATCCATGAAGAAAAAGGTGGAAGTACAAAGACATGGCTTGGTACAAGCGATGAGAGCTCCCGGTTGGATTTGATAGCTCACCAGCATGGCGTGGTATGCCTTTTTATTCTTGCCATGGATCAATTATTTTGCTATTTTCCAATACAAAAATGCAGTAGCACTTTGGTATTTTCATTATCTGCACATGGAGGATTGTACCAGTAAAATCTCATTTGTTCTGATATATGTTTGCTACTTCATTTTCCATCTTACAGATATTCCAGGCATTGTTTTTTGTTAATGCAGTTTGTAATTTGTATATGTATTTTTAAACTAATCAACTCCTTGTGGATAATTTATCTTCTCCCCTTGGACAAAATTATCTTTTACTGAGACAAGTTGTTTAACAGACAGATAAATCTGAGTGTTATCCTTTAATTAGAAGAATTGATAGGTCCAGCATTTTTTTTCCTGATGAAGCTGGATGATGTGGGTCTGGTAGCATGATATCCATACCTTAGGCCGGGTTTAGTTCCCAACTTTTTCTTCAAACTTTCAACTTTTCCATCACATCAAAACTTTCCTACACACATAAACTTCCAACTTTTTTCTTCAAACTTCCAATTTCGGTGTGGAACTAAACACACCCTTAGTTTATTGCTATTATTGGACATTAGATAGGACAAAATAGCCATGCTGCAACCATCCTGTAAAAATAGGTGAATTTGAACAATGTGAAATTTTATTTTCTGATTCAGAGCTGCTAGTATAGGCAACTACATGGTCATGTTGTGTTCTTAGTACGAATTTCTCTTTTATGCAAATTACATGATCATGTTGCTAAGCTGTGTTTTCCATATAATTTCTCCAGGTTTTGATTTTGAGTGAGCGTCTTCACTCAGTAACTGTGCAATTTGATCGTCTTCGGACCATGCGTTTTCAAGATGCTATTAACAGAGCGATGCCAAGAAAACGGATTCAGAAGAAACGAGAAACCAAAGCTGCTGAACCATCTAAGCCAAACCTTGTATTAAAATCTGATGTTTCAAAGGTTGAAGATCAGGAGGTCTCTACTGCACCACTAAGAGTTCAAGAACAACTCTTGGATGATGAAACAAGAGCTCTTCAGGTAATATTTTGATGTATATGTATTATGCTGGTGAAATTCGAGTGAATGATGCATGATTAATTATTTGCATCCTTTTACTTGTATCTTAGGTGGAGTTGACAAATCTTCTTGATGCTGTCCAAGAAACAGAGACAAAGATGATAGAGATGTCAGCACTTAATCATCTCATGTCAACACATGTTCTACAACAAGCTCAGCAGATCCAGTATTTATATGACCAGGTAGAAAATCTATTTAAGCCAGTACACCGTATCTGTTATTTCTTTCTTGTAGATTGTCTTCTTATGTGAACATACATGTAGATATTCGTGGAAAAAATATAAATGGCACTCTTTTGCTGATGTACTGTTAAACATGATGTGTCTGTCGTTTGTTATCATCCACTGATCTTCTTATTGGGATCTTTGGAACACACATTTCCCTCATTAAATTAAATTTTCTTTTTCTTTTTCTGAATAACTGGCATGGTCTCTACCTTGCATTTCCCTCTTTATAATACCATCTAACGAAATAAGGTATAAGATCTTTAACTGATGACTCAGGAGGTCCAATGGTGCTATATATGAAAATTGGCAAGTGATCATGTACCTTTATCTGTGTGTTTTCATTCCTGATTTCTTATAGCACAACGTATGCCTTCTTCTCAGGCAGTTGAAGCTACAAACAATGTGGAGCGTGGGAACAAGGAGCTATCCCAGGCGATCCAGCGCAACAGCAGCAGTAGAACCTTCCTCCTACTTTTCTTCTTTGTTCTTACCTTTTCCGTTCTCTTTCTGGATTGGTACAGCAAATGAAGCTTATGTAAACGCCGTGATTTTTTTTCCCATTCTGAAAGTGGATCAAGTTATCAGTCAATCCATGTCTCGCTAGGTTTACTGGCCTTTTACGTGCAATGTATTACTGCATTCATCATTTGCGAATCTGAGACTCTGCCGCAAACGTGACAAAGCACGTTTTGTGAAATGGACAAGATGCTAACCATTTTTTGAAATGCAAAGATGCAACCTTACGGAACAAAATGTAATTTTTGAACTTCAATACAGTCAGTCACTTTAATTTGCCTGGTGTGGGGGCATAAAGTTCAATTAATCGGTGTTTACTCATTTTATGATTCAGCTACGTTTCAAAAATTCTGGCACCATCTAATAGTACAAATTGCGTTAAGTACTGTAAAGCAGTAACGCTATTTTCAACCCAATGACTAGGATGGTGTCCATAGCATTAAATAAGTTGGCACCTAGTATGAAAAAAAATGATGTGGCAAATGAACGCTATTTTCAACCCAATGACTAGGATGGTGTCCATAGCATTAAATAAGTTGGCACCTAGTATGAAAAAAAATGATGTGGCAAATGAATAAATGAGGAAAGAGAAGGAAACCATGTCTTGCATGAGACATGGTTTCTACACAACATCCAAGACATCATGTGAGATAAGTAGTATTAAATTGAAGTATGGAATAGTGATGTTTGCATTGAAAGAGTAGTGTCTAGTACTCCCTCCGGTTCCATATTAATTGACGTTTTGGACAAGGTTGAGGTCAAACTTTTATAACTTTGACCATCAATAACTTTAAAAATATTTAGTTTAAAGGAACTAGAATAACATATATATACATATACATATATATTTGTATACATATATATTTGTCTTTTAAAGTACTATAATAAAAATAAATATGCATTTATTTAATATATATATTATAAAAGAAAAATAAGGTCAAAGATATATCTTGTAGAACGTGTCATTATCCAAAACGTCAATTAAAATAAAATGTGGAGTTTATCAAAACTATGTCTAGTGTTATGGGTTGAAAATGGCCTAAGGGACAGGTGCAAGGCAAACCAAACAGACCAAAGCTCAGATGGTTTGGACGAGGCACACAGTTCCTGATCTTAGGACAAGAGAAGAATGAAATGTGCATTTCACCTTAAGTCTTGTCACATTACATCTCTATATCAGCATGCTTTAGGCACATGCTTATCGATACAGACCAACAGTGTTAACCACCCTCTTTTACCATATGCATCCACCCATTAGTGTCTTGCCTTCCCGTATTTACAAAAGGAATACACCACCATCTTGCTTCAGAACAAGAGCAGGCACAGCACCACAAAAACGAAGAGGAAGAACCAGATCTGATGCAGTGACCTCTCAACTTCCATCTGATGTCTCCTCGCTCTAGAGCTCATATTGTGTGCCGTGACATAGTGGGGACTCATGAACATGCTCGGTGGCACCTGGCCACGGAATGCCCATGGTAGCACCGCCACTGCCATCCCCCCAAGCACACCACCAGCCGTCGAGTGGATCAAGCCACGCCCAATTGGTGATGGCGGGTAAATAAAATCAAATTCAGTTGCACTGGAATGATGGCTCGAATGCCGCAGCGGTTGTGGTGGAGGGCTGGGTTCCATGTTCTCATGGTGCCGATCATCGATGTTATTGTGTGTGTTTTGATGCTCAACCGCCTCCCGCTGCACGGTTGGTCGTCGTGGAATGGGCACACCATTCAGTGATTTCTTCAGACTCCCCCCACGACCATACAATGGCACCAGCATGTCTGGGGAGAGTGTAGCCTTACACACAGGGCACTGTCGCCTTGCCAAACTGCTGTTGTTACTGGCAGTCGATCCAACCCCTGGACATAGCCACTCATAGATGCAAGGCCAGCAGTAGAGATGACCACAAAGAGTAACCACCGGCTCTGCTGCAAAATCAAGGCAAATGTTGCAGTCAAAGCAAGCGTTTCCAGCAGTCACAGGCATATCTCCACTAATTTTCTTCATTGGCTCATCATCAGGCAATGAAGTCTTGTTATTGACAGCAGCCATGTAAATCTGGTCCATTCTCACGATGACCCTTGCGAGCAAACACAGCACTGCAGTTCAACAAACAAAAATATGTCACTAGGAATGCATATGACATGTAGTTAAGTAAAGCATCACTGAGTGGGGCCCACTTTACTAATCATTGTACAGAAATAAAAACTTAAAACACACCAGAAATGAGAATGGAAGGAACAACGCAAGCCACATGGTACCAACAGATTTATATGAAACTAAGCGGGTCCAGGTAAAATGCAGCTTTTTGGCCCACACCACATCATCCTGTCCAGCGAAGTCTATCCAAATACATTTAACAAGTCTGAAGAGTGGTGCAGATGTTAGGTAAAGCTCCAAAACTCCGTGTCTATATGCCAGAAAAAAACTACTTAATATTATCCTGGTTAGTAATCAATTGATACATCAAGGAAGAATCCATCATCTTTCCTAGCAGGCTGAGTCAGCAGTCATGGAATGGATTATCCAATTTTTTCAATAGGAACTAGATACACTGCCCTTTATTTTTTATCACAAATGACATTCTTATCCCTACGCTACAAGTATTATCTATCAGGATAAATGGGGAACTTTTGTCAGCAAGGAAATGAAACAGCTTATGTCCTATGTGTGCAAAGTCAATACTATTAAGATTAACCATCATTGCCAACTTAAAGTTACTATGCCTTGGGAAGAAAAGGCATAGTACAAAACAGTTAGCATTTAATATGCACCCACAGTTTACAAACGGCGGCTTAGACAAGGATGGCAGCCTGGCAGGTCCTGACTAGATTAATACTGCCTCTCTTCTAATTGATTCTATAGAAATATTCAGGTAAGCAGCTATGGACGAATAAACCAGCAGAGTTGACTAAGCCTGAGAGGCATCCCATCCCAATCTCCAATAAATGCTTCCATGACATAGTGAACTTTATGTGGTTGATAAGGTCCATCGACAAGTGAATTATTGAAAAAAAAAACAAGGTGTGGAAAGTGATGTGGACACAACAATGATGGATTAGCTACATCATTTGGCATATTGAATTAAATCAAATACACCGAAAAGACCACTACTTCACATATCTAGTGACCGACTAAAATAATTATAACCAAGAGATAATGGCAATATACTGTATTAGAATCAGGGAACACTGAATTATTTGTCCACCAGCATCTTCGAAATTTCTTGATTGCTCTCATCCCATGTGTAATATTATTAACTGGTGAGCTTAAGCTCAGGCTATCGCAAATTCAGACACGTTGTTTTGTTACATTGAGTATTTTAGATAAATGTGGGAGCACATCAATATTCCTAGTGTTAAAATTTAGATAGACGGCTAATAAGAGTAGCCTTAAGAAACAAAATAACTGATCCTGAATGTGAGACTACGAAACGAAACAATAATCAAGCACACGGATCTGCTAAGCTCAGCAGCATCAACCGCTATCACCATTAAGAATTCACACAACAAATCCACCGCTATCACCATTAAGAATTCACACAAGAAGTCAATGTTGTGGAGAAACAGTGTATTACATCATAAATCATGTTTTGGAGTGCGAACACATTTTGTTAAAATTGTTCAGATTTGTGTATGGTAGTAAATCCTCCAAATGCTGTCTGCTCATGTCTAACACAGGGCACGCATTCGTCAATACACAAACGAAATTAGAAGTTTGGAAGTTGGATATTGGGTAAAAAAACGATTTTAGCACCGTCGATTCCCTAGTGCGGTTCAAATTGATACTGCACTAAATCTAAACATAAACAATTTCTCGGTTGGACATTGGGTAGAAAAACGATTTTAGCACCGTCGATTTCCTAGTGCGGCAGGCGCATCAACACACAATTGGCCAAACCGAGGAAAGGAAAGGAGACCACCGACAGAGCTAACAACGATCTTCCCTTGTTCCTCGAGAAGGACAAAGGCATCACAACCCCAAGCACGAACAGCACAAGCCAGGAGGAGCAGCAGCAGCAAAGCATCAGAACCTTTCGGAGCTAACCCAAGGGCAGGCAGCAACCTAAGAATCCAACCGAGATCAACCCCCATGACACACACCGGTCCTCCAATCGACCAGACAACGCAAAATCTTTCGGGCAAAAACAAAAAAAAACATCAAAAGGAAACAAGAGATTTCATCCCGCTGACCTGACAAGAACAAAGAACCCAATCCCGCGCCGGCGCGAACGCTGCTGTCGGCCCTAGCCTCCCGCTCCCGAGGGACGAACAGGAGACGGGCAAGCGGCGAGGCGCGGGGGTGGCAGCAATCGGAAGGCGAGGGGGGTTGGCAACAATCGGGAGGTCACGAATGCCGTATCGCTGCGGGGAAAAAGAGGGAGGGGAGATGAGGCGTCGACGTCACTTGCGGAGGAGGCGAGACGGGACGGGACGAGGGCCGAGAGATAGAAATATATATAGTTGAAGCGGAGACCGGCGCGTGGGGGAGCGTCCGATCCAGCGATGGACGGCCGTGATCGTGCGGGCGCGGGACGGGGCGCCGATCACAGCCGTCGGTCGCGGCGATCGGGCGGCCCCGAGGGGATTTCCCACGTTGCTCTCGGCGGAAGCTTCCCGTGGAATTATTTATTCGCGGGATGATAAGAGGCGAGGTCGCGAGGACGGTGGCTTTGGTGGGAGTGAAAAGGATTATCGCTGCGGGATATTCTGCGCGTTTCGGTTAACGTGGGGTCTGTTTTTTATTTCATCTCTCTTGTAACCGAAATTCTTTCATGACTTTGACGATAATATCATCGAATTCATGGTTTATGACTTATGAAATTCTTCGACGGAAGAGGATTGTAGTATTTGTGACAGTTTTTATGGCCCGTACAGTTCGAATGGAGATAGTTCGTCTGCTCAGGATTGAGCAGACGTGCCCTAGCGTATGGCATGGCCTTTCTCAATCATCACTGCACTGCACACGCAATAATATAGGAGTATAATATTATTTTCTTTCCAAATTATGATTTCCGTTGTCACCGTGCATAGTTTATTCATTATATTTTCCTAGACTTATCATGTCCCTGTGGTTTTATCACTTTATGGCATGGTGCACTCGAATTATTCCAACAACTTATCAGGCAAAAGTAAGCAACGACGGGAGCCTCACAGGCTCTGTAGCCGCAGGTGTTTTAACAACAAGCACGAGATTTCCAATCTGAAAAGCTTGGAAAAACAGGTGGCGCTCAGAGTACCACCATACACCTCGCTTTGGCAGGTAGGCTCACGAGCGAGTTGTCGCGGTCACGGTCGCGTACGTACGTACGTGCAACAGCGTTGGGGGGCCAACGCTGCAATCAGCCAGACTCACTGGTTCTACGAACCAATGTGCCACCCGAAACAGGGCTGAAAGCAAAAGCAGAACCGCCAAGTGAAAAACCAGGGGTGGATGCACGCGAGCACGCCACGCCGCCGTGCCATCGAATAGCCCCCACACATCCTGCTCGTCGTAATCCGCTCCCCGACTGCCGCACGCGCATGTGCGCGCGCGTGATCTCTCGGCGCAGTAGCGGGTAAATTTCCGAGCGGTCAAACCGCCGCAGCCGGTATGGGACGCCCCGTGTCGGCGCCCAACCACCGGGACGAGACGGCAACGCCCCCAGGAATAAACAACGCCACCGAGATCCGGGAAAAACGAGAGAGGAAAAGAAAAAAGGAAATGAGAAAAGAATGCACAACTGGTAGTACGTTTGCTGGCGTTACGCTGCAGGGAAGCAACAGAAGCGAGCGCGTTTATGGCGCGCCGAACTCGTGCGCGCGGCGCGCCGTTGGGTCGTAGTCGCGGCTGATAAGCTTCGTCCGGTGGTTGGAGTGGGGCTCGCTCGATCGCTCGCCCGGTGGTTTCTTTAATCGGCCTCGTCCGTCGCGGCGCGCGTATGGCGTATGGCGTTCGATCGATCGGGGCGCTGGCGTGGCGTCCCATGCCACGGAGTTTGTTGTGGAGCGGATAGGATTAAGGCACGGCAGTACGGCACGGGACGGGACGGGAGAAGAGCAACAATGGCGTGTGGCGCAAGCGCAAATGGCACGAGGCGCGCCGGTTCGCGGTCGCGCGCGAGCAATGATTGGGAGCGGGAGCGTCCGGTAGGTGCGGGGATCGCGCGTCGCGATCTGCCGTTCGGCCACGCCGACGGCGAGGGGTGGGGGGTTTATCCAAACCACCTCGTGGCGCCGTATAATACGCGTCAACTTCACGAATCTACACGTATTCTTTCATTCCAGAGAAAGATATGCGTATCTATACACAGTGGTGAATTATGGGGGTGGGTCCCCAGGAGTTGCCTTCAAATCCACCAGGTCGATTTACTTGATCCAGACCGTCCCTTTAATTTGATGGATTAGATTAAATCCAATCCCTTCTCTCCCTGGTTACTACTATCCTATTTTTTTTCAAAAGAAATATAATGTAGAATCTATAAAATAGCGTTATCTAGTATAATATAGTGGAGAACATGTTATCTTCAAACTTTCTGACAACAATTAGATAGGAACAAACAAAACAGAAACATTGCACCGATAGAAGCTTCTTGTTTTGTTGATTATTAGGATGAATGAGTTCGATACAGGTCTCGATACCGTTAATTTCATAACAACTCAGTTAAAAAAAGTTTAAAGATAATTATTTTTTACTCCATTATGCTCTTCCGAGACTATTGATCTGAATGAACGGACTACGCAAGAAATAAAAAAAAGTAGATATAATTGTTTCTGCTGTAAATGTGTAATTGGAAAGAGGTGACATGGCTAAATCTAGCCCGAAGAAACAAAGTAAGGGGTCAGATTGGTTCAAATTCACCAGTTGGAGTTGGAAGCTAACTCCAGGGGATGTGCACCCGGTGATTGGGATACATGGGTGCACCTGATATGTTAAATTATGCCATGTTAAACATAGTCGACTGTAGATTTGTCATGTAATTTTGGGCGGGTTGTGCTACCTTATTAACTCCTTTACCTACTTTTAAAATGATCGTTTTTATATAAATCATAACTTTTTTTGTTTGTTTAATAATAAATTTTATCCCGATATTTATTAGTTGCCGACAATATGCATAACCGTTGTTTATCCCATCGGCTTGTAAGTTATCTAAAGCTCGTGTCTTTCTCAGAGCAAGAAACATAATATCCAAAGATGCAGTCGAGCATTATGCCAATTGAATTTTGCTTGCACCACCGCTAGCAAAAAACCACAACTAAAGATAAGCGCAAAGGTGATGACATTGCGACATCACCTCCAAGCATATCTGTGGCAACCACAAATGTCACTAATATCGGGCGAACGTTGTCATCGCTCCAGATCAGGTCATCCCAATCCACGTCGTTGTTGGAGGCACACCGACGCCACCATTTGAAGTGATGTGCCTTAGCTGCTTGTGTTGTTGCCGATGCTGTCTCCTGTACCCGCGAGGAGTGTCGAGTGATTGCCTCAGTCGTGCACCACTGTCGCCACCCTCATCGGCATCTAGATCTGTCGACGTCCATAGCCGTCTCTATGTCTGGATTATTTGGAAAATTAAAAATTCTTAAAAATATTATAGCTGCCCAATAAACATGGTCTTAAGGGTTTATTCAGATTGATGTCATTTAAAACCATACTATTATTGGGTAAAAGTTGACAATCATATAGCCACAGTTAATTTGTTACCAAAAATGGGTAATGTTTATGGAATTTTGACAACTTATATTGAGTCTACTCTATCAAAACTTGGCAATGTTACCAATTTGTAAAAATTTTGGCATTGCCAAATTTTGAGAATGTTTATTTTAGCATCAATCTGAACATACACTAAATCTCCTTCTCTACACTAGTTAGGTAATACATGTTGTATTGGTGCTAGGGCTTTATTGTTGATTTTTATCTTTTTTGCGCACGTTAGAAGATACATTAACGAATGCGTACTGTCATGTAATAGCAACAACAATAATAATAAAGGTAGTCTTGGCTGAAATTTTGACAAATTTACTATTTTAGAAAACTTATTTAAAAAACAAATTGTGTCAATAACTTATTGCATTGCAGAGTCCACGATTTATTTTTACAATAAGGTTTTTGACACTGTTTATTTTTAAATAAATTTTCTAAAAAGATTAATTTGCCAAAATTTCTGCGGTACTTGAGACGTGGGCAAGCGAAGGAAACGGATGGGGTACTTTCACTGGCTCGTTCAGTGCTCGGTACGACGGTACCCGTTACAGCTAGATCGAGGGACCAGCACTACGACCATTGGTTCGCCGCACTGAGACAATCTGGCACAGTGAGTCAGTGACACATGGCGCGCACACACGACACATGGTACAGGTGGATCGATCGATCGCCCGCAGTTTACAGCAGGGGCCCGCGGATTGTTTCTTGCAGTCTTGTCCGTCTCCGCGGTTTGTTGCCGCGGCCCTCCGTGAATTGATTGATTTTTGTTAGTATCGTGGTCCTTCGAATGCAGCAACGACGAATGTAGTTGTGTTCTTAACTTTTTCAACCTCACCATCTCGTTTTACATACACACGCTGTACAAAGGCTAAAACGGTTTATTTTTTTTTTAAAAAAATCTTCTATAAAAATGTTGTTTTAAAATAACATTAATCAAATTTTAATGTTTGTTACTAATATTATTTTTTTTTAAAAAAAAATCTTCTATAAAAATGTTGTTTTAAAATAACATTAATCAAATTTTAATGTTTTTTACTAATACTTAATTAATCATATGTTAATGGGCAACGCTTTTCTTTTATCCGGAGAGGTTGGGTCCGGAACACAACCAAAGAGTTTGGAACGGACTGCAGTTATGGTTGAACAGACGAAGAGCATAACATGCATCATGACGTAAGAGGGCAAGCTCTTGTTCAATCAGTGCATTCATATCCAACCATAGGCATCTAACACGACCATATACCTCAAGCACCTATTTGGAAGGAACATATCATAAGCAATAATATAGTGTAAAAGGGTAATATGTATCTTAACAGTCAATACCATACATATCTACAGCCAAAAGAATGGACACATGAAACCAGGCTTCCTTGCGACTTTCATGATTTCATCATTCAACCTGCATCCTCGAATTACATTTATTGGATGCTACCGAAAGCGATTCCCAATACTATCTATACACGTAGGCATATAAACATTGAGCATGGCTTCGACTCTTGAATGATCTGAAGTTCTGAAAGTTGGACGTGTAATGCTAACTGTTCAAAGGGTTCAGTTTTGGCATTTGCATTTTACCTCTCGACAAATTTCTCAATGGATGCGATCAGTGTACTCTCAGGCACAGCTCCAATCACTGCATCTTTCTTCTCTCCGTTCTTGAATATCATCATGGTTGGGATGCTCCGGACGCCATACTGACTTGCTATATCTGGATTCTCGTCAGTATTGAGCTTGTAGCATTTCAGTTTCCCTTCATACTCCTTGGAGAGCTTGCCAACAACGGGATCAATCATTTTGCAAGGCCCACACCATGTAGCCCAGTATCCAACAAGGACAGGAAGCTCGCTCTCCATAACAAGTGATTGCCATGTTGACTTCGTCACTTCTGGAACTACAAATGGGTGATATCATAATGAATGGTTCAGAACACATCAAATGATGCAACCATCGATACAATACCAGATAATCAACATCATGTAGATTGTAAAATAGCATAAATCCATCATATATATAAAAGCTCACTGTGGGAAAGGGTAGGTAAAAGAAAGCCGTAATGGTATATATAGCACTACGTTGTTTAATACATTCAAGGAGACATCTACAATAAACTGTGCTAAATTATACAAGTCAAATATCACAAATAATGTTCCCACTTTTCACTTCGTAAAGTACAATTTTCACATTTTTCTTTATCTTCTATTATTACATTCTATGCAACTATGCATTATACTGTATGAGTCTACACCGTGCAATTGTACACACCAATCAATTAGTTAATCCAAAGGTTTCATTGATGTGCCGTGAACTAAAGAATGATAAAGGCAATAAAATAAAGAAAAAAAAGGGGTAGAAACTACAGTTTGTAGAAGCAACATCACTAGCCTACTACAACATTACTGAATTTTTTTTGTATGCCAATGATATGCAATTCAAAAGACCAAAACCAACCAAATTTGGTTGATTTCTGGGAAAATAACATGGTTAAATTCCACCGAGTCCGAGAACTTATATTTTGAATAATATAGTGATACATTGTGTAACTGTACCATGTGAAACTTAGATGGAGCACAACTATTAAAAATTCATGCTTATACACCTTTCTTCCTTATGTGCAACTGAATTTAAGAAATCATTATCTTCCGCATGACAAGTGGACCAATGAGAGGCATAAAAGGAAATATATTAACACGCTTGATCAAGGAGGAAATTTATAGGATTCACCGATTCAGTCCTTTTCTCAGATTTTTAGATTTTTCCTGATTCTTAACACTGTTCTGGTGCCTTTTAAATCCCACTGATTGTTCTCGTATCACCCCAGTCTTTCTCATGCTTATATCCAAGTGCACAAAAAGGATATGTTAATCGTACAGCGAGCTAGTGTGCACCGATGGCTTGTTGCTGCATAATGCAGGTACTACAGAGTACAGACACATACTGACATACACAAGAGCTTCATTGGAAATGCCGCTGCAACTCTACACTTGAAGCACACTTCCTGCATGTACCTCACGCAGGCACCACACGATGCATTCATGCATGAAAAGAAGGCATGCGCACACAAGCAAGCCCAGAGGCATAGGCATATACGTTATGCTCAACCTCACACATAGTAGCCAAAATTCATAGTATCGCGTCCAAAATGAGATTGCATCTAACAATTTAATCCTTCAACCCCTTACCGACATGCTGCCATAGAGGAACTACGCCTAAATGACCGAGTCCCAACACAAATTCAGCATCTAAACTACTGACAGAAAACAAAAGAATTTAATCACCAGTATCTAGTAAAATGTTACTCATGTGAGAAACTGAGATCCATATCTATGCACCGATTGGATGAGGCAGTTCGCCACCTAATCTCGTAACAGATCAACATCAACACATACACGTCAGATTCAGCACGAGCAGAAGACCGGCGTGCATACCTTGGATGGATGTGTCCTGGCCCTGGACCGCGCACACTACCGACGCTCCACGGCCGCCACCCCGGCGGTTCCCGGCGAAACCGGAGTCCGCGCGGAGGGCCTGGTAGCGGATGCCGCGGGAGGGCGGGACCGCGCGCAGGCGGCGCGCGGACGAAGCGGAGGCGGAGGCGGATGCGAGGGGAGAGGAGCAGACGGCGGTGGAGGCGGCGAGGGCGGAGGCCATGGCGATCGAGAGACGGGGACGGGGGTGGTGGAGACTGGAGAGTTCGAGATGGAGGAGGCGCGTTTGTTGTGGTGCGAGAGGGAGACTTGCGGGGAATGGGATGGGAAGGAAAGGGAGAGGTGGTGGGGGTGTTCGCGTGTGGTGGCGCAGCGCTGCCCGCTTCGGCTGGGCCCCGCCGCCTTGCGCCTCCGTGGATCGCGTTTTTTGGCAGATCTGGCACGACATGCGCTGCGGGACTGCAGGCCGCGCGCGTCCGTGGGCCGCAAGCCCAAAAAACACCAAAGCTGTCTACTGGACGTCTAGTAGACGTCTGTCTGTTACTAATACAAGGGAGATCACAAAATCAGAACAGTAAAATGAGAGTTCAAATTCAGAACAGTTTGCCAGATTTTATTGATGTCATAAATTTTGCTGCAATGAGCAATCTTTTTTGCATCCAATAAATCTTTACAGGACACTTCTTGTACAGGTGTACAAGTGTAAACTTGCTGTCCCAGACTTGAACTCCGGACTGTAGAGACGGCAGATGTGACACAAAGGTAACCTCTTTGTCATGCCTCGATGAGCAACTCGTGCTCTTCGTCTCCCACCATCAGAACATGTGTTCCCAGGAACAGCACCCTTGTGCCTTCGGTGTTGGCAAAGCTCATAAGCTTGCAGGGGTCGACGGTGATCTCCACATCGGTTGATCTGCCAGCGGCAGTGTGCACACGCTCAAAGCCAACTAGCTGTTTTATAGGGGATCCTGGAAAGCTTGGTTTCGAACTCGCGAACAATAGAACGGCATGGCTCCCGTCCATGGCACCATCGTTGGAAACCGAGATGTGAACAGGAAATTGCAGCGCCTCGCATGAGGCAATGTCTTCAACTTGGACATAATCTACTCCATCCCTCCTTGTGTATGCAGGCTTTCTGCTGATAAGATCTGGAACTGACGAACGGGACAAGCTGATTTTCTTTGGGGCCTGCAAGATGCTGTACGAATATTTTGAGTAGCTCAAACCATACCCAAACCCATATACTACATCTCCAGTGTAAAATCTGTATGTTCTTCCTGGGTAACCACGTGACGCATCAGCTCTCATGTTCATATCATCCATCGGAACAGCAGTGAAGGATTCAGGGTACCAAGTTATGGGCAGCTTTCCTCCTATAATAACAGTGCACAAGATTAGCAACCGCTGCAAGTTTTCACTACACTGCACTCAAATGAGCTTTTCTTTATAAGAAATTTATTTACTCACCTGGGTTGTATTTCCCGAAAAGGATTTCTGGAAGAACATTTCCACCAACCTCGCCAGGATAACCAATCCAAAGAATGCTCGCAATACGTGGATCATGCTTTGCAAATGAAACATCAACAGGACCACCACCCATGAGTACCAACACAACGGGTTTCTTTGTTACACTGGCAACAGTATGTATGAGATCCATCTGCCTGCCTGGAAGGAGAAGGCTCACTCTATCATGATCTTCCGTTTCTTCAGTCAGGTTCAACCCAGCAATTAGAACAACAACATCAGCTCTCTTAGCTGCTTCAATCGCTTCACCAAATCCATCCGTTGAGTTACATGGAACATCCTTACATCCAGCAGCAAAGGTTGTTTTGGGAACATATGCTTGCATGCCTTTAACAAAGGTGGTAGAATGACAAGGGACACCTGGAGAAATTAAAATTACCATTAATGTATGTAAAACAGTAAAGTAAGACAGATTTTTTATTGATGTCAGTGGTAAAAACCTGTGTAGTCACCGCCTAATATATATGGATCATTTGCAGCTGGTCCAATAAGAGCAATATGACCAACTTCACTTCTCTTTAGAGGCAAAAAACCGTTATCATTTTTCAAAAGGACAGTACCCTGCCTTACAGCTTCTGCTGCAAGTTCCCTATGCTCTGTAGTGCACACATTGTTGGGTCCTAATTGTGTAAACCACTGATTCTCATTGGTCTTATCAAAAAAACCAAGACGGAGCTGAACAGAGAATAGATTAAAAAGGGCATGGTTGATATCTTCTTCTTGGACCTTTCCCTTCTCAATTGCCGACTTTGTATGACGAATTAGGAAAGAACCACAGTTGATATCCATTCCTTGAAGAAAAAAAAGGATCAGTCATCGATAGCACCTCAGCAAGAAATTTTATAGGCTTGCTTGAAGGGTACTCAGGACTCCGGAGTGGTTCTCAGATATTTCAATTTCAAGAAGGTGCTGAAACTTTACACAGGTGTCCCCTAATATATGATTTGAAATTGCTTATTGAGCAGAAAAGTTCTTTGAGAAGTCAAACTCCTAGTCTACAAAGACAGCAACTTGTTACAGAGAGAGAGAATGTCACAGGCCACCAACCTGCCTTAAGAACAACGGCAATTGAATCTTCATCTGATGCTGTGTATGTCTGGTTTTCGTGAATTATTGCCACAGCATCACAATCAGATGTAATATACCTTCAAATAATCAAATGGGCACACATAAACAGTAGTGCAGGTTTGGGTTGATATTAGGATTTTTTTTTCTGCCAATATCAGTATTCAAGGATCAAGTAATGTTCTGGGCAAGAGAAAGTAGTATACCCCTGGAAACCCCATTCATCTCTAGCCCTTTGCAGGATATCTTTGCGGGCACATGCTGGCACACCATTTACCTGGTTGTATGAACACATCAAGCAACTTGCACGACCTTCCTGGATGCAGCTCTTGAAAGGAGGCTGGTATGTGTCTTCCATATCTTGCGCATTAACCTGTCAATAACTAATGCCTTCTTGCTTATAGGTTCAAAAATCAAAACATTCTTAACCTGATTCCAAGCTTGCATTCTGATTAATGTAAAAAAGAAGAATGCGTTTTGATACTTTGGTTGAATATTGCACACCAAACAACAGGAAAAGGAAATTTTCAACTGAAGGATCAATCCATTTATTGATTCAATATCTCATTAGCATCAGGATAGACTACTCTTTTTTAAAGAACTTGCAGGAGATCTATGTGTTAATAAGGAGAAGGAAAGGGCTACACAACAGATGCACCCACTTTGAAACTTTTACTTCATGAAGGTGAATCCGCATGAAATTTTTGTGTGCATATGGACTGGTCGAGTACTGTGCTAGTATGATATCCAATATTCTATTATTAGCATGTTTGCACAAGTTCAGAAGATTCAACTGTGTAAGCATGAGCGCTGCTGTTGTGTCTGGCATAATTAAGGGGACCCCAAAAATTAAATGAAGGCATATACCGTAAGGGACTAACTACCGAGCAAATCTAATAAGGTCAGCTACTCCTCCATCAAGAAGCAAAATTGGTAAGTGGATTGTGAAGGGACCAAAACATTCATCACCTTGGCATTGAAGGTGTATCTTGTAAAGCCCCTCCATTTCTCCAAATCATAAGCGATGTAGTGCTTGCAGCAGGCGGAGAGCATCATCCTGCCTTCCTCTCCGTAGTCCCGCTGGAACCCTTTCACATACTCGACGGAGTAGGCGGAGACGACGGCGGGGTCCTCTCCCGGCGTCTCCTGGCCGCGGCCCCACCGTGGGTCGCGGAAGACGTTGATGTTGGGCGCCCAGAACGTGAGCCCGGCCTGGCCGGCGTTGTGCATGGCGCGCGCCTCCACCGCGATGGCCCGCGCCGCCGCGCGCCACAGCGAGCGGTTGAACGCGGCGGCGGAGAGGATGACCTGGGGGAAGATGGTCGCGGAGCGGACGGGGCCCGAGGAGAAGTTGACCCCGGGCCCGTTGTCGCAGACGCCGTGGAGGGACTCCGACCACCACTCGAAGGGCGGGACGCCGAGGCGGGGGGCGCCCGCGGCGGTGTTGGAGAGCTGCGCTATCTTCTCGTCGAGGGTGAGGAGGGAGACGAGGGCGCGCGCGCGGGCAGGGAACGGGAGGGTGGCGTTGCAGAAGGGGTAGGCGCTGGCCGCCGGCGAGGCGCACGGGCGCGCATTCGACGCCGGCGCGGCTCCATCGCCCGCGCCGGCGCTAGCGACGACAAGGAGGAGGAGCAAGGGGACGTTGGACATGGCGGGTTTGGGGCCGAATTTGGCTGAGCACACTGGCTTGAACCTCGCAGGTTGCAGCATTCAGCCAAAATATGAACGGAGTCTTGCAAGTGGGACCGATTGGGAGTATATATAGTTGTAAATTCAAATTGTCTAGTTTCTGCTGTCATTGGTCTTAGTTTATTGTCCTTTGGATAAGCTATGATTTGGATGTATCAGTTTTTTAAAAGTTTTTGTTGAACTGATCTCTTCATTTGGGTTTCGGAATTTATTGAATTAACAGCTCAGTTGCTTCAGTTAGGCATCTTCTTTGATAAGAAATTGCAATATTGGGTTGTTTGCTTGCTAAGGTGGACTGCTGGAGTGAGTGGTGGACTATTCTCCCATACACCTCCTGATCCCTGGCCAGCGGTCATTGTCTACGTCACGCTCCTTTTGGTTTATGTTCATGCTCCATGGAGTATAACGTCTGGTTTAGTTCCCAATTTTTTCTTTAAACTTTTAACTTTTTCATCATATCAAGGGTGTATTTAGTTCACTTAAATTTGAAAGTTTGGTTGAAATTGAAACGATGTGACGGAAAAGTTGGAAGTTTGTTTATGTAGGAAAGTTTTGATACGATGGAAAAGTTGGAAGTTTGAAGAAAAAGTTTGGAATTAAACAAGGGTCAAAACTATCCTACTCACACAAACTTCAGACTTTTCCGTCACATCGTTTCAATTTCAACCAAACTTCTAATTTTTTGATATGAACTAAACACATCCTTAATTTTGGGTTTGTTTGGTATGGTGTGAAAACAAATCCTATCAGTTCATATTAATGCAAATAAAATACGGTTACATCTTGGTTTGCTACCAAAAACTGGTAATAACGCTCTGTGCATCACAACCAAGATTTTGGCAACACCAATGACTTAGCACCCTTTTAAGTTTAAACTAACAATAGCATAAACAAAATAATTTGGTTTTTCTAGAACTCAAGTGTGGTCCAACCAAACCTTCTCAGATAGCGAGGCATGATCGGTGCTGCTCGAGAAAGAATGAGTATAGCAAGTTTAATAATATAATCCACTTCTAGCTTCAATCTATTATATTATTAAAACAGTATT